CCCAGGCAGCCCCTTTCTTTGATTTTTTTTCTTTGATTTTTTAAAAGTAATCTACCCTTAACGTGGAACTCAAACTCCCAACCCCAAGATCTAAGAGTTGTATATTCTACAGACTGAGCCAACCGCTCCCACCATCATTCCAGTCTTAAATATCACCTGCAACTTGTACCAAATCTGTTGACCAGCCTCTGTAAAGCTGCAAACACCCTGGCCAGGGTGAGGCAAGCACCACCCCAGTGTGAACTCCCTGGATACTGAAGACCCTGAAATCTCTGCAAAGCAATTTCCTACTACTCACAAAGAACCTCCAAGATCCCAGGAAGCATGAAAGATGTACAACATCTTGGGACCTCACCCCATCAGAGCCTTCCAAGTTTGGGGGCCCAATACTTCCCTCTGAGGTCAGAAGCTGCCTCACTGGTAAGACTTAAGAGCCCAGCTCTGGGACTTACTCGATGCTGCCCAATACCACCGAACAAAAACACTAGTTCAGTGTCCTAGATTCATTTTCTACTGCTGTATAACAAATCAGCACAAACGTAGACATCGAAAACAACTCGAGTTTATTATCACTCAGTTCCCATGGGTCGTGAGTCTGGTCATGTTTTATCTGGGTTCTCTATCAGGGCCTCAGCCTGCAATCCAGGCCAAGCTGAGGCCTTGTCTGAGGCTAGGGTTGTTGCCAGAATTCACCTCCTTGTGCCTGTAGCTCTTAGTTCCTAGAGACTACTCTCAGCTCCAGCCATGTGGCCCTCTCCATAGGGACCATACTCTGGTTTCACTTTTTTTTTTTTTTCCCAAAGATTTTATTTATTTACTTGACAGAGAGAGAGAGAGAACACAAGCAGGAGGAATGGCAGGCAGAGGGAGAGCAAGGAACCCAATGTTGGGGCTCGATCCCAGGACCCAGGGTCATGACCTGAGCCAAAGGCAGATGTTTAACTGACTGAGCCACCCAGGCGCCCCTGGTTCCACTTTCTTGAGGAGGGATCGCCTGATTAGATCAGGGCCACGCAATCCCTCCTTTGATCAACTCAAAGTCAATTTATTAGCAACCAAATTATGGGAGAGACACCCCACCCCATCACATCCACAGGTTCTGCCCACACCTGAGGGGATTATATAATGTGTGCACAGAAGAGAACCATCTTCTTAGGGTCCTGCCTATTACGTAGAAAGGCCTACTGGCCTTAAAATCAATCGCTGCAAACAACCACCACTAGAGAAAGAAAGAAAGAAACCTGCAAAGATTTTGAAAGCAAAAGCAAGTCTTAAAAGGCACCGCATATACTGCCAGTGTCGGAAAACCCCTCCAGAGGCAGCTGCTGTGGACTGTGTGTCCAGGCTATTGGCCAACGCTCAGAAATGAGAACAACAGATGATGGCAGGGAAGCTCAGCTAAGCCTACCAGACTGGCCAATCACTCATGAACTGCCCCGATAGGACGAAGGGGACCGTCTTACTATGTTCCAGACGGCTGCCCTTACAAATTACCCTACAATATAGTGGCTTCCAGCAACACAAATGTGTCATCATACAGATCGAAAGGTCAGAGTTCCACAGCCAGTTTCCTGGGGCTGGTGGCCGCGCAGGCTCTCGGCACAACTTGCTTCCACGTCTCCTCCAGCCTCTCAGCCTTGCCGGCCTTCCTTGGCTGGTGTCTACCCCCTCCAGTCTCTGCTTCTGTGGCCACCTCACCTTCCCCTCTACTGTGGTTGAATCTTCTGCCTCCGTCTCATCAGCACCTTTCGGACCACACCCCCAGATGATCCAGAATGAGCCTCCATCTCAAGATCCTCAACGACATCCCGTTGGCCAAGTGCCCTTCTCCGTGTAAACTGTCGTTATCCAGCTTTATCGCGGTGACTAAAGCAAAGTTAGGGTTTTACAGAACAAATGTTTGCCATCCTAGAAAAATGGACATAAGAGCCACCGGGGGGGTGGGGGAGGAGGGTGGAACAGCGCTTTAGAAAATTTGCCTATTTTTGCTACCAGTGTTAGAGGACACCCATGTCATCTCTGAGGATCACATGAACTGAAGATAAGTGCCCGTGTGGACCTCCTACCAGGAACCATGCATTGATCGGGCTCATCTGGATTTCTAAACAACATACTGTAACTACACAGCCCCCCTCCAGCTGGGAAAGCCCGGAACACACCCCTCTGTTGCTTGGTCCTCACGCCCCATACCAACAAGCCAGGGATTCTGGAGGCAGAGACGCCAGGCGCTCTATGTTTACAAGAATCCCCCCCCCCCCGCCCCAAGCTGTAGTATCTGAAATCAGGTTGTGTCTTTGAGTTGATGGTAAATTGTAATTAATTGCCAGCATATTCTTTGTCCAATGAGTTTGTGAATTGATGGTGCATGTTAAAGGATACCACCTGAGGCTTGCTGAAATAAGGAGGGATGGCACAGGGCACTCTTTGGTAGGAAAGTCCTATGATGTTGACCGTCTTGGAAGGTGCAGGGTGAATCTTGTGAAGCCCCTTCCTAACTTGCTCCACTGTTCTCTGGGTCCCAAAGCCCAAGACACCTTAATGGTGATCACAACTGAACAGGTGATCACAACTGAACAGGTGATCACCTGTCCCCTATGGAGTCCTGAAGATAAGTTTTAATTTTGTTTTTCTCCTTTATAAACAGAGGCTACAAAGCTTCAAAGAGAAAAGGTCCTTTACCTCGGACATGTGATTTCTGCCAGAGAACATCCGTGCTCAAGGTCTGCAGATCTGCTATAAACAGGGACTGAAAGATTCTTCCATTGTTACGTCCATCACCATGGCTCTAGCTGGACAAAGATGCATCACCTTGATGACAGGGATGTGAGGAAGCTTTTTCTTCTGCTAAGCAAGTTTTGAGCTAGGGTTGGTTCTTCCTGGCTATGGTAGGTCTCTCATTCTTACCATTAGAAGTAATACGAGGAGGGGAGGCAGGAGGAGCAGGAGCAGCAGCAGCATGGCCATCTTTACGTATATGAACAGAGTTGTGGAGAACGCCCTGTGGCCCATCAGAATACGTGCTTGGACAGCACTGGTCTGTGTCCTACACTCATGTCCTGGGATGGGCATCTTCCACCTCAATTCTGAGCTCCTGGAACCGTAGCTGTGACGTGTGTGCTCGGAGCCTTCCTCCTCCAGATGGAAACACGACACCCTCCTCATGTCTGGCGTTCCTGATGGGGGATTTGCTCCTCTGCGGCTGATCACCCCCGTACTAGTAAGTACTGGCTTCCATCCTGACCTTCTACTTATGATGCAGGCAGATGGTACGCCTCCCGATCGCTTTAGAGCTACCACTCCTCTGCCAAAACACATAGCTGGCCTTAAAAAATGCTGAATTCTTTTTTTTATTTTTTTATTTTTTTTTTTATTTTTAACGCTGAGTTCTGAAATCCTAATTTCATATTTATATGAAAGGGTCCCACCAACAGTGCAAGAAAAATTGGTCTCCACGGTGTGGTTTTCTCAGCTTGAGACGCGAAACTCTCCGCTGTGTTCATGATGGTCTGCGCAGTGAGTGGCTGAACTTGCCCCTCTTGTTCTCTTGTTTCTCAAAAATCTTTTTAATATTTATATTTATTCTTATTTGCTCCTGGGGTTGTTCCCGATTATGAGCAAGCGTCAAAAACCAGACACTTCCTTCCCTCTGGAGAAGCAAAAACGTCTAAAGGTGCTTAGGTCACGCTTTATTTATAGGTCTGGCAGGTGTCTTCTGCTGGCACCCTGAAAAAATGTTCATTCAAAACATGATACTGGTATGTGTAAGAAGCTTTGGCTTAAAAAAACAAACAAACAGCAAAAGCAGAGGCAACCTTTCTCTAGGCCATTCCTTTTGCCTACAGGGTCCTCTTCCAACTTCTTCTGACGCTGCTTTCCTCTGAAGATGCCCCCACCGCATTCAAAAGCAATCCTGGGAGACTAGCAAGGATGTCTTTTGTATCCACGTAATATTTGCCATTCCCCAGCTGGCCACTTGGTGGAGCCAAAAGGCCCACTCTCTTCCCCTTGCCTGTGTGGGTACTGAGCAGGTCCGGGGTGAGGGCTGAAACTTGAATGACCCCAAGGCACAAAGCCAGGAGAAGGGGAATACCAGACCAAAAGGGCTGCTGATTCTCATCCTTGAGGGCCATTTTATTCAGATGGAGAAAGGGTAAGGATCTAAAAAGGATGTGGGAGTGGGGGTGGGGTGCCTGAGTAGCTCAGTTCGTCTAGTATCTATCTGCATTTGGTTCAGGCCATGACCTGGGGTCCTGCCTGGGATCGAACCCCATGTAGGGCTCCCTGCTCAGGGGGAGTCTGCGTTTCCCTGATGCCTTTCTTCCCTCCAGTTCGTGCGCTCTCTCACGCACGCTATCTCTCTCAAATAAATATTTTTTAAAATTAAAATTAAAAAAATAAAAACGATTTGGTTTTCCTGTGCACTGCCTTGGGTCAGACAGATGCATGCATATCCCTGTGTGTCAGTACAGGGCCCCCCAAAGACGTTTTACTTCCAAGGTCAGTCACCTCTGTCCACTAAATGTGAAGGGACTCAGGCATTTCAGACCAGACTGTAAAGGAACTTTGAAAAGCTACAAAAGCAAACCAAAACTACACTCAGGTACCATTTTCCATCCAACTGGAAAAAAATGGGTACTTTCAGACAGTGCTGGTGGGCACCCGAGAAACAAGGTCTCTCCCATATTACTGAGGTGTGGGGTGGTAGGTCTAAATCGGAACCATATCCATGGAAGACAGTTTGGCAAAACTGATCCAAATCACAAACCCACATTCCATTTCTAGGAATGTGCCCTATGAATGTGTTTGCCCGTGTCAATGTCACATTGGAGGATGGTTTGTTGTAAGATTGGAAAAAAAAGAAACAAAAAAACTTAAAAACATCCATAATAGGAAACACGAAAGTATGAACATCTACATAATGGAATATTGTGCAATAGTAAAAAAGGAGAGGTTCAGGGAGCCCCGCCCAAAACCAGTGCCCAGGTCCCCAGTTTGTTCACCCCTTGTGAGGCCCTCCAGCCATCAGTAATCGCTTGCTCCAGCTCTTCCCAGGTGACCATGGTGACTTCTTCTCCAACAGGCATCAAACTCATCTTCCGGCTCATTAGATCCTGACAGTAACAGCACACAGACAGACAGACAGACAGACAGATACACACCCCAAGTTTAATTCCAGAGAGCTTTAGAAGCAGAACTGAGCTAAAAGAATCCACAGCCCTAGTCCGGAGGAGAAGTCACTGTCCAAGTGACCAGTGATCTTGGGAAGCCAGTTTCCTGTCCCTTGTGGGTCCCCGGTGGACATAGGACAGGGATGGGAAGGATTTCCCCTCAATCTGGGGACAGTGCCCTACCCCGGGGCAACAGAGACATCTAGGGTGAGGGTCTGGACATCCTCCCCTACTGCCCCCTTGAGGACCCTTTGTCACAGAACTCGCCCATATTACCAGGAATTCATCCCGTTCTCTGATTATCTTCTCTAGTTCATCAATCCGTTGGAAGACTTTCTGGAAGAAGAGTTCAGAGATGGAGGATCAAAACATCCCCTCTCGTGGCCCCTACACACACGCGTGCACACACACACACACACACACACAGAAGGAGAAAGCAGGTGTGTGGACCTTACAGGAGCAGGGGGTAGAGAGAGGGCTGCTAAGGCAGGTAAGTGGTTTTCTTTCCAGTCAACAAGAGGCAGGAAAGTGAGGTGCGGTGGAGCAGTGCTGGGGGACAGCGGGCCAAGAGCAAATGCTAACACAGGGGTGGGAACCTGTGGTCCTGGGATTCACGTCATCCTACCCACCAATGAAACATTCCCACACTGCAGAATGAGGCTGACTTCGCCTCTCAAGGACAAAAATGATCAGGTCCTTCAAGGGTGTCTGAATGGCTGTGCGGTTTAAAGAGAAAGGCGCCCCAAAAGAACCAAAGCACACTGCTAAAACTTAAGTTTCCCCCGTAGGACTTCTGCAAACCTCCTGAATGTAGGAATCTAAAGGTAAAACAAGGGATCCCTGGGTGGCGCAGCGGTTTGGCGCCTGCCTTTGGCTCAGGGCGCGATCCTGGAGACCCGGGATCGAATCCCACATCGGGCTCCCGGTGCATGGAGCCTGCTTCTCCCTCTGCCTATGTCTCTGTCTCTCTCTCTCTCTCTCTCTCTCTCTGTGACTATCATAAATAAATAAATTTTTAAAAAAATTTAAAAAAATTTTAAAAAATATAAAGGTAAAACAAGCCTTTAGTTTAAAAAAAAAAAACCCATCTGAACCCCCAAAACCACCACACTTCAAAAATAAAAGCTTCCCAGAGCAAAGATGAGTGCTGTTTGGGGCTCAAGCCCTGACATGGGGGGCAGGAAGGGTCAGGGGCCCCCAGGGCCTCTCGCCTCTCCTCTCATTGCCTCTCTTCCTCCTTCTAGCACGAAGCCCGTGGGTGGCTTCCGGAGGGCCTCAGGTAGGAATACCACCCGTGCTTTGGGTCCCTATAGGGCTCACGGAAAGGGAGTTCTAGACGGTTCTCCCAGTGAAGCACTGCGCTTGCTCCTCCCAGCTCCTCCGCCTGGGCTGAGCTTAGGCTTTCAACGTCCACCACCTCACTCTTATTCTTGTTTAAAGGAAATTCGCTCAAAGGATATTCAGAGAAGTTGTGAGCTCCCCCTTGGGCCGGTTGGGGATCCCCGGGGCTCGGGGCAGTGGGGTCCCCGCCGCCCGCCGCCCTCACCTCGAGTTTCGCCTCCGGGAGCTCCTGCGCCTTTCCCTTGGCTTCTTGGAGGCTTTTCACGTCTTCCGTGGTGACCTGCAAGGTGGAGACGGCCGCTGGAGGCCGCGCCCCCCGCCCCGCCCCCCTCACCTGGGCGCTCACCTGGGCGCTCACCTGCGCGCTCACCTGCGCGCCCACCTGCGCCACGCTAGCCTTCTCGCCCCTTCCGGTTCTCAGCGACCCGACCCGCGACCGGGACGGCGCCAGCTTGACCGTCTCGTCCAGCCAGTCCCGGGGGTCCGCGGCCAGCCCCGCGGGCGCCGTCAGGTGCTGCACGTGGCTCACGATGCCCTGCACCTGGCTCGTGATGGTCTTGAGCCGCCTGCTGAGGTCGTGGACCTGCCCGCCCAGCCCCTTCACCTGGCTCTCCAGCGCCGCGGGCCTGGTGTCCTGCGGCGCCGCCAGCTGCGGGGCGCTGACCACGGCCTGCGGCGGCGGCGGCGGCGGCGGCGGCGGCGGCGGCGGCGGCTCCGGCCCGGGCTCCGGCGACTGGAAGTCGATGCGCACCTCCTGCAGGTTCAGGCTCCGGAGCATGGCCACGATGAGCGTGTGCAGGGCCGTGAAGTTGACGGCGCCCGCCTCCGGGGTGCCGATGGCCAGGTCCGCCAGCTCCCGGAGGGACACGGTGCCGGCCGCCGGCGTGGGCGGCATCGTGCGCGCCCGCAGCCCGCCCCGCGACCACCGCCCGCCCCGCCCGCCGCGCCCCCGGGCGCCCCCGGGGCACAGTCACCGCGGGCCGCCCCCGCCGGGCTCCCCGCCCTTTGCTGCTGCCCTCCGCCGGTCTCCGAGCTGCAGCCCTGGGCCGCCCGCCCCTCTGGCCCTCCTGCCGGGTCGCGGCCAGTGGACGTTTGGAACGGGAGGGGCGGCCCCGTTCGCTGCCCGGTTGTGCGGGAGGCCCCCGCCCCCCGCGCGCCCCGACAGTTCTGCGAAAGAACAGGCCCGGTTGGGCGGGACGCGGCGCCTTGGGGGCTGCCCATGGGCGAGGCCACCCCGACTCGCGAGGGGAGCCCATCCTAGCGGGCTCGGGCGAGCCTTGGCCATACCCCAAGGCGCCACGAATCATTACCAGGAAACGCTTCTCAAGGGGCCCTGAGGCTGTGCAAGGCTCTGCTATGGGCAGGGGAGGCCTCCTATGGCTCCCCTAGATTCCGCGGGCCCCTTAACCTAGGCAGGCCCCTCGTTCCCTCAGACACTAAGCACAGAAAGGTTTAAGGGACACCGTGTGTCCTTAGCTCATCCCATTATTCAGGGCAGTGGCACACGTACCTAAGGGATGCAGTCCTGAGAACTTGGCCCCTTGGGGACAGTTCCCATCTTACAGCTTTATCAGAAAGGAGGGTACCTTGGAAAAGACCACTCAGGACCCAGGCAGCTCCAATCAGCCACCAGATGACAGCCCTTCACTGTGCCACCCTGGCCTAGTTCATCTCAAAACAGACTCATCTGGTCAAGCGCCAGCATTTCAGCTCATCACAGGGCAGGATTAGAAAGGACTAGAGGAATTTGGTGCTCTCAGCAATTGGGGATGACCTCCCCACACCAGATTCTTCCAGAAAACATAAAATGTCAGTGTTTATATTCAGGAAAACCTGTGCGAAAATCACCATGTACTCCTCTTTTAACTATTTTCAAGTTCAAATTTTTAATCTGAGCTGATAAGGTGTAACTGAAATCCTTCATGCCCTGCGTCCCCAAGTATTGCCTGGGAGCAGACTTAAAACAAGTCTAGAACCTCCAGGAAGGTTAAACTAAAACAGTCTAGACCTCAGGAAGGTTAACACTCCAGGATTTTGTTCACCATCACATTCCCAGGGCCTGACACTCAGTAGGTTGCTGATACCATCAGGAGAACAAATTCTTTGCAGCCTTGTGCACTTCTGCTTATATCCTATAAAACAAAAGGCTGGACCACAGAGTTAAATTAAACCCTTGAAAGAGCATCCACTGTCCTGCAGAGTGTGGAACATGGGCTTCTCAACTCTTAAATTCAGTGACTTTCCAGAAGAATGTCACCCCTGCTGCTGCTACCCTAGTTCGGGCCAGAATGTCCGCTCCCTGAGTCTTCACAGTTTCATTTGCATATTCCTGAGACCTGGCATCATGCCAGGTGCATAGCAGGACCCACTAAATGCCAATGGGAAGGGCATATGTGAGTATATTCTAATATCAGGGGATACTTAGATTCTACTAAGTATATATAAACACCTCTGTTCTGGGGCACCTGGATGGCTCAGTGGTTGGACGTCTGTCTTTGGCTCAGGTCCTGATCCCGGGGACCTGGGATTAAGTCCTGCATTGGGCTCCCTGCAGGGAGCCTGCTTTTCCCTATGTCTCTGCTTCTGTGTGTCTCGAATGAATGAATGAATGAATGAATGAATGGATAAAATCTTAAAAAAAAACAAAACAAACACCTCTGTTCTTACAGACATAGGAAACTAAACATTAACTGGATGAATAAATGGAATTTGGGAGTTGAAAAGGACTTCCCTCAGCTGTCAACTCCAAACCTCTTTTCACAAGTGATGAGAGGCCCAGAAAGGACTCGTCATCTGCCTGGCCTCATGAGTAAGAACCAGGCCTCTTTTTTTTTTTTTTTTAATTTTTTATTATTTATTTATGATAGTCATACAGAGAGAGAGAGAGAGGCAGAGACACAGGCAGAGGGAGAAGCAGGCTCCATGCACCGGGAGCCCGACGTGGGATTCGATCCCGGGTCTCCAGGATCGCGCCCCGGGCCAAAGGCAGGCGCCAAACCGCTGCGCCACCCAGGGATCCCAGAACCAGGCCTCTTGAGTAGTAACAGTCCACGCCTCTTCCCCAGCCACCATGCTAGCTGCTAATTAAGTTCTTGCTCAAAATTCCCCTACTTGGGACTATTAACAAGAGGCAACTTGTGTGCCTGAAAAAGCCAATGTGCTCAAAGTCTTGACTGTGGCTTGAGAACTTTTCAGGTCATTCGGAAAGAGATAATAAGAATGTCAAGGAAATGTTCCTGCAGAGAAATAGGATTATGCAAAGAAGCGAATGGTCCTTTACTATCCTTCAGGCACAGGACAGACCAGCAGTTCCAGCTCACTGCCTGACAGACGGATGCTGCTCCTTCCCATTACATTCAGTCCTGCTCAAATCAGGCTGAAGGCTTCAAAGGCCTGCCTGACAAATGGGCCATAAACTAGAGTAGTTTTGATTGCTGGGCAGAAAGGTCAGGGGCAGTCCTGAGTAATGCAGTACCTGCTGTCACCTATCACACAGGAAAAAGTAAAATTTTTTTCTATCTTTTTTTTTTTTTAATTTAGATTTTGAAATCCATTATTCCAACAAAGATTTGGCTCTGATGCTCAGGAAGGGGATGGAACCTGCAGACAGAGACTCATGTCCAGGGTCTGGGACCAGCCATGGACCTGGAACACTCTATTTCGTACCCATTGTCTTCCGCACCATCTGGATAGAAGTTAGGAGAGCGGGAGGCTCTGCAATGTTAGTGAACAGACCAGTGAGACAACAAATTCTTTTATTTGCCAGCGAAGAGCAACGCAGGTATCCAGAGATAGGACGCTACTCTCTAATCTGACCTCCTGGCTGGGATAATGCCACAAAGGCTTCGTTGTTCACTGGCTGTAGGCACAGTAGCTTCTCAAGGAAAAATAAGGTTTTTCTACAAAAAAACTTACGTGAGGTTGACTGGGGAGAGGACAACTAGAATGGAAACAGTACCACGGCACTCAGCTTCCCTAACCAGGTTCAACATTGACACACATTTCCCACGGTGGAAATAACCGAGTATTAGAGTTAAGACTATCTGCCTTTAACTCCTTTTCAATATCAGCAAGATTTGGGGATTCTTTTCAGAAAGGTGTCTGTAACTTTTGTTTGAGGCACAGGAGGACGATGGCAGACATTTAAGGCCATGTTTCCATTAGCTCTGTCTTCCCCTTGACTATCTTAAGGCCTCCTACCTACCCAACTTGGCGAGAGACTATCTGACTTCAGGCTATTTCCAGTCCTCCCGTGAGAAGAAACACCGTGTACAGAAGTTGATGGCACTGCACTCCACATGTTTTCCTCGGGAGTTTCAGTCAAGGCAACCGTGACAGCTTAGTCATCCACAGTGATGTTTCGAAAAAGGTATGCCATGGACTCCCCATTGTGGATTCTCCGAATTGCTTCAGAAAGAATCAGACTGATATCCACCGTCTTTATCTTGGGACACTGCAGCTTCTGCACCTCATGAGGGACAGTGTTCGTCACCACCACCTGGTCGTTGCAGCAACGGAAGATAAACACGGTTACTGATGTGTCCCCAATGTGGACCTGCCATCCAAGTTCCAAACTACAAAACCTTATTCCGAGTACAGTTTTTACAAACTAAACTGATCTGACTTTATACAAGACAAAGGTTACATGGTTGAACACATAAGATTATGAAGGTCCTGGTGTACTTATGCAGAAATGTAGGGTGAGCCCCAGCACGGCGCACAATGTGCACGCAATCCAGGAAGAATCCAAGTCTTGAGAGAAGGGCTACCACAGCACCAAATTATACTGAAATACGAACTACACCCGAGCACATAAAGTGAACCTTTATGAAAACAGACATCTAACTCCTACCTACACATCTGGCCCAACACAATGCTAGGCACCAAGGGCATGACTTCAGAGGTCCGTCCTCTAGAGGTGGGTTAAGCAACATGGGTGGAGCCACGTCACCATTCCCAGAAGAGAGAACAGCAAATTCTAGGCCTGTTAAGAGCAGACCAACCTCATCAATGGAGGACTCCTCAATCAGGCGGGGGGCCTCTGCAGACAGGATGCCATGAGTGGCCATGACGTAAATCTTGTAAGCACCTCTCTCTTTCAGGATCTCCGCAGCAGCGACAAAACTTTCCACGTCATCAATAATGTCATCCTGAGGAGAGACTAGAGTTAGTAGTAAGGAGCTACCCGCCATCTCTATAAACGACACACCTCTCTGCTCTTCCCTGCACTTCCTTTCAGAGGATCTCCAGCTGGAGATCAGAGCCACCTGCCTGATTCCTGGACTGAACTTCTGGTGGCGGCAACAGAACCGTGTGGACTGTGCTTTGCGAGGCTGTCAGTACAAAGAGCAGCAAAGCCTACAGTCACGTGTAGTAGGTAAGGCTGGAGTTGGGGCCTGCCAAGACTCATTTCCCTGTTCCAAATCTCCGATTATTTCTACATAGCTGGGGTCCCATCTTTTTTTCAAGACAAAGTGAGATGAGAAGAACACAGAAATAAAGCCAGTCATTGTAATCAGGCCCGGCAAAGGCATTTAGAGCTGGGAGCAAACAGATCATGCCTAAGTACGAAGAATGAGACATTTGTTCTCATTAGTGAAAATGGAACGACTCATCTTCAGTTCATCTCGTGGCCCTAAAGCTGAAGGTTGAGCAGTCAGCTGGTCTGATGGAACCTAGACCCCTTAAGATGAAGACTATTTATGGGGTTGAATTTTCTTATGGAGTTCCTATGTTCTTTTTATACCTGTAGGTTATAATAATCCCTGTTCAACTATACAAAAATTTCTCCTTGTCCTAAAGGAGTTTGGGTGAGAAAGGATAGATGGATCCATTTAACTCTTATCATCTTTACCAGAAGTATAATCCCAAAGTGTACAACCTACTAGGAGCCAACAGTGTCATCTCTGCACATGAAGGACGACACATGACCATACCACTATGATTGCGATGCGCCCTCCAACATCTCCGACTACAGTTATTGGTGGTTTCTCTTTGGCCATCATCACTAGCAAAACAAAACAAACCACAAGATCCCAGTTAGTTCTGTGTCACTAAATAAATACAATTGCAACCTCATTCCCTGGAAGTGGTGAAAAAAAAATTATTAAACAAAGAAAACTCTCCTAAATGAACCTGGGGTCTCTCAGAAACAGACTGTGTAGAGCAGTGCTGTCTAATAGAAACAGGTGAGCCAAATGTCATTTTACATTTTCTAGAAGCCACATTAAAAAAGTAAAAAGGGGGTGCCTGGCTAGCTCAGTCAGTGGAGCACACAACTTTTCATCTCAGTCGTGGGTTCGAGCCCCCTGTTGGGTGTAGAGATATTAAAAAAATAAAATCTTAAAAAAAAAAGTAAAGAAAAAAGTGAAATTAATAGATTTTGTCTGGTATATCCAAGATGTTTTAGTATATAACCGATATGCAAATTTATTAGAGATATTGGACCTTCCCTTTCACACTAAGTCTTCGATATTTACTGTGCATTTCACAAAGACAGCACTTCTCAGTTGAGACTAGCTAGAAACCTAGCCGGCCCTGTAAAGAGCTAAGAGCCACATGTAACTAGCAGCTACTGGTCTTTGGACAGCACAAGTCCAAAGACAGAGTGGCAGGCTGAGGAAGATCTTACACACACAGAAACAGCAATGCAATGCCATGCAAAAGAAATAATTCGACTTACACGGAGACTGATAATGTAAAATAAATGCCACTCTGTAGAAAATCAAACAGGTAAAAGCTGCCAGGCAGAAAGCAAGCTTTACTTCATTTTCTTCCAGAGTAACTTTATTTGGACAATGTAACCTGTGTTACCAGATAACTACATGATTGACATCATCAATCTCCTGGAAATTAGGGACTTGAAGACAGTAACTGACTATGACTCCATCATTTCTTCTTGATTTTTTTTTTAAAGATTTTATTTATTTATTCATGAGAAACACACATAGAGAGAGAGGCAGAGACACAGGCAGAGGGAGAAGCAGGCTCCATGCAGGGAGCCCGATGTGGAACTGGATCCTGGGACTCCTGGATCACGCCCTGGGCCGAAGGCAGGCGCTAAACCGCTGAGCCATCCAGGGATCCCCTCTTCTTGATTTTTTTAAAGGATTTTATTTATTTGAGACAGAGTGAGAGGGTGTGAGTGGGGGAAGCAGACTCCTACCCACCGCCCCCTGAGCAGGGAGCCTAAAGTGGGGATCGATCCCAGGACCCTGGAATCGTGACCTGAGCGAAAGCAGACACTTAGCCAACTGAGCCATCCAGGCGCGTCCATTTTTTCCTAATTTGGTCCTTAAAGTACAGGCTTCCTATCTCACTACACAATTTATACCTAGAAAAGGCCCATCTGTGTACAAACCTAACTCCAGAATAGAGAAGGGAAGTAAGAATTCACCCTCAAAAGAAGGTTAGCAAACAGAGAGAGAGAGAGAAAGAGAGAGAGAATATATATATATATATTTTTTTTTATGACAGTCACAGAGAGAGAGAGAGGTAGAGACACAGGCAGAGGGAGAAGCAGGCTCCATGCACCGGGAGCCCGACGTGGGATTCGATCCCAGGTCTCCAGGATCGCACCCTGGGCCAAAGGCAGGCGCTAAACGGCTGCGCCACCCAGGGATCCCAAGAGAGAGAGAATATTTCATTAGAATAGACTAAGTATCCTACTTTTAAAGCTTTTTATTATTCTGAAATATTAAACCAGTAGTGGGAGAGGGACATAAGAATAAAACTCAGGATAATTCTCTAGGTTAGCAGCTATCAGCAAACAAACCACTTTAGCAGAGTCTTATCTACAGGTACCATAAATCTCAAAGAACAGGCAGATCTTTCTGCATACCAGCGAATCAGCCGAGCTGAAATCCAGTACTATTTTATTGGCAGATTTCAATCAACATTTCCTGATTTCCCCTCCCAGAAACAAGGGCATTTTTTTTTTTTTTTGAATTAGGGCAGTCCAAAGGCTCTGCATATAAGTATTGTTTGGTAGTATTTAGGTAAAGACGGAGAAGATAAACCATCAGCATTAGGAAAGCTTCCTTAAACTGTCTTTATATTAAACCATGTGGTAGATGGTTGTGCTGACCTACCCACTTCTCAAAGAGATGTGGCCCCTTTTCTTGGCCATTTTCCTCTGTAAAAAGAGAAAAAAGATTGCAAGCCAGTATCCCTCAAAGACCAATAAAAATTCAGCTCTAGTTTGATGTGGAAAACATGTCACAGTACTCCTCCTTACTACTTTGTAACTTTGTTTCTCCCAAAAAGCTTATCAGTGTGGAATGAAAAACACAGGCATGGCTAGGATGGAGGCTTAAAAGGTTTTTAAAAAGCAAGCATCTTTCCCGGTATGTTCATTCCCTGCTCATTACTAATTTTAGGATCTGGATAAAACTGAACGTACAATTTGGTGGCTACTGGGGCACCTGGGTGGCTTGATGGTTGCGTGTCTGCTTCTGGCTCAGGTAGTGATCCTGGGGTCCTAGGATCAAGTCCCGCATCAGGTTGCCCACAGAGTCTGCTTCTCCTTCTGCCTAAGTCTCTACCTCTCTCTGTGTATCCCTTAAATAAATAAATAAAATCTTAAAAAAAAAATTTTAGTGACTACTAAAAAATGGAGACAGACTTTATTAATAGGGTCAAGGGAAATGAACAGTACATCATAGGCTAAAAACAAAAGTCCCAAATTTTCTAAGCTTACCCCCCCGACCAAAAAAAAAAAAAAACCCACTGAAAATTCAAAATTATCAGAAATAATGTATGTACTGGAGATTAAGGATAAAGGGTGCTAAAACTACCCTATGTTTAAGAATAAATGAATTCTGCACCATTGCTTATGGCCAGAAATCACAAACTGTATCAACTTACTGTAGTGAAAACATCAAGTTATCAAATGACCTCAAATCTAGGAGAAAGCAGGAAATTATCATTTGCTTTTATTTATTTATTTTAAAGATTTTATTTATTTATTCATGAGAGAGACACAGAGAGAGAGGCAGAGACACAGGCAGAGGGAGAAGCAGGCTCCCTGCAGGGAGCCCCATGCGGGACTCGATCCCGAGACTCCAGGATCAAGACCTGAGCCGAAGGGAGGTGCTCAACTGTTGAGCCACCCAGGCATCCCCATATCTTTTGCTTTTAAAGTTACCATTTTCCATGTAAAATAATACTGCATTCGTAACCATCCTTAAATTTTACACTCTCTCTTACTCTCCCCAGAGTCAGTTAACCAAACCTTCCTCTCTTGGAATATAGGGCAAGAAAGGGCCAGGAGGAATTACTCATTCCTTATCCGTTTTGATTTTGGTCTATTTTTAGTTCAATGGAAGGCCAAACTTTATCAACAGACTGGCATTAAAAAAAAGAAGAAATAAAATATGGTCTCCTGTAGGACTGGAACTGAAATTATCTTCAAGCCTACAACTCTATCCAGGTGCAAACAAGTCAAAACTAACATTTAAGAGGTGCTTGAGAGAGCTAATGTCTGTTTTTGCTTTAGTGATGAAAATCACATCTTCATTTGTAAAATTACCAAGCCAGAAAAGTCAAGCCAAAAGAGGTGACTTTCTCTCCTTTTTGTGATCCAAACTCTTTCATTTTCACCACATGGCAAACACAGAGCAGTGCTGAGAGGCACCAACAGGCAATCCTTCCAAGTTCATTAGATGCCCTTGCCATCTATTATATCTATTACATCCTATGTAATCAATTCTATCTCATAAAACAGAAAAATTTATACAACTTCACTTTTATTTTTTTTAAGATTTATTTATTAATGAGAGACAGAGATTGAGAGAGAGAGAGAGAAAGAGAGCGCGCGGCAGAGACATAGGCAGAGGGAGAAGCAGGCTCCACGCAGGGAGCCCAATGTGGGACCTAATTCCAGGACCCCAAGATCACGCCCTGAGCCAAAGGCAGACCACTGAGCCACCCAGGCATCCCAATACTTTTGGTCTTGTCCTAGCAGTCCAGTATCTTCGTCTTCATTACAATTTTTTGAAATATTTAATTAATTAATTTATTTATTTGACAGAGAGAGTGCGTGCACGCACGCACATGCAAGCGGGAGGAAGAACAGAAGGAGAAGGAAAAGCAGGCTCACCGCAGAGCAGGGAGCCTAATTCAGGGCTTGATCCCAGGACCCTGAGATCATGACCTGAGCTGAAGGCAGACACTGAACTGACTGAGCCACCCAGGTTCCCCTCATCTTTGTTACTATTAACTAAACTATTAAAATATACTGAAGTATAACTGATAATATAAAGCATATTTAATTTGGAAAGTATAATTATACAAAACTAGCACTTTTTAAAGCATTCTCTTGGCTAAATCTGTTAGAAGGGATCAGAAAATGTTCCTATGGCCGCTGTAAAAATTGTAATGTAAACACACCAAAGGTCTATGAAGGAACATACTGCTTTATAGCATCATATAAAATATTACAATAATTTAGCAAAATAACTTTCAACCCAGTAATTTTATTTCTCATCTTTTTAAGTACATTCTGTCACTTATGAAAGAACGTAAGTGAAGGTTAGTCACAGGTAGTATCATCTAGTGCTGAGTGTACACCCCATAGCCCAAATCTTGGTTTGTAAATCTTGGTTTGTAAATACCACTTTCCACTAAAGGCACTGGGGCTGCTTGTTGGAATGACTGATTCCAGGGTGAAGTAAGTACAGGATAAATATGGAACATCTAGGGCACCTGGGTGGCTCAGCAGGTGAAGCGTCTGCCTTCAGCTCAGGTCATGATCTTGGGATCCTGGGATCAAGCTCCGCATCAGGCTCCACATCAGGTTCCCAGCTCGGCGGGGAGTCTGCTTCTCCCTCTGCCATTCTCCCCTCTCACACACCCCCCTCTCAAATAAATAAGTAAAATCTTTAAAAGAAATATGGAACATCTAGCTATATCAGAAAGTAAGTATCAAAAATGACAGGGACATGTCAAAAGAACACAGGAGGGGCTCAAAGGCTCTCTTTGGTCAAGTCTAAGACAATTTGACTGGTAATAAATTTGACAATTTATTACAATAAATAGTAGCAATGGATTAGAACACCCTGAATAAACTAAGGTTCTATGAATCCATTCTGATAGAACTGAATTTCAACAGGGAAGAAAGAGAATCATAGTAATAACTGATTTGACCTAATATGAAGGAATACTCCCCAATAAAAGGATATTCTACAGAACTGGGCTATACTCTTCAAAAGTGTCAAGTTCATAAGAGACCAAGGACAGAGGTGCTGTTCCTGATTAAGTGAGACTAAAGAGAAAGGTCAACTGAGTCTGATGTGTGATCTTTATTGGGTTCTAGGTCAGAAAGAAATGATTTTTCCTTTGCTCTGAAGGACACAGTAAGCCAAATGGTAAAATAGGAATAAGGTCTGCAGATTAGGTAACAGTATTGTAACAATGTCCGTTTCCGGAGTCTAATAATTACACTGTGGTTATGTAAAAGAATATGTTTTTATGAAATATTTACTGAAGCATTTAGGAATACAGACATTATGTCTACAACTCACCCTCAAATGGTTCAGAAGAAAAGGATATGTATCTAAGTGCTAAATCTGGGGACTCCGAGCAAAGAGTAGAGAGAAATTCTGTATTCTTTCAGCTTTTTTCTAAGATTGCAGTTTGTTCAAAATAAAAAGCTAAAGTATGGCTCCTGAAGCTCCTGTTATTCCAAAACCTGGCTTCCCCAGCTCCTGGCTGCATCTCAGCTGCCTCGCTGGCATGAGAGATGACACAAGTAGCTCTTAAGAAAATCATGCGAAAACGAAAGATCCCCGAAGATCTACTGAAGAGCTTAGATGAACTCATGACACATAATCAGGGCTCAAAAAGTGTTTATTATTAATTGGCATTTCTTCACAGCCAAAGCCTGGAAAAACTCTATATGTTCATCAACAGACAACTGACTGAATAAATTGTGGCATATCCAAAAAGTAGAACACTTATGAATCTAAAAGACCAAGAGGTATGTCCAGACTGACAGGGAAGGTCTTGAATGAGAAAAGCAAGGGGGAGAACAATGTGTCTGATATACTACCGCCGTGTGAAAATGCGAGAAAGAAGTATGTTATCTGCTTGCATATGCATACAGCCTCTAAATGGATATAAGAAACCAACTATACTGCAGATCAGAGTAGCTGGGGGAAAATTTTTTACTGTAAAGAATTTTATACTTTTTAAATTTTGAAATATGGGGATATATTGCCTATTCAAGAACTTTAATTATGAAATTCTCAAATAAAATAAAATGCTGCAAAAAAAATGCTGCAATACCAAAAATTTAAACTAAGACTTTATTACTTGTTTCTCTTGTATAAAAACCACTGAAGTTGGGATGCCTGGGTGGCTCAGAGGTTGAGTGTCTGCCTTCAGCTCAGGGCATGATCCCGGGATCTGGGATAGAGTCCCACATCGGGCTCCCCACAGGGAGCCTGCTTCTCCTCTGCCTGTGTCTCTGCCTCTCTCTCTCTCTCTGTCTCTCTCTCATGAGCAAATAAATACAATCTTTAAAAAAAAAAAAAAGTTACATGCCTTTCCAACTGAGCCAGCCAGGCGTCCCATCTTGGTATTTTTAGGTAATTGAATGGGATTGCATTGGTTTCCCCTTTTGTTAAAGGAGATGGCGTTACATTCACAGACTCCATAAGGACAACTGAACTAATCTGGGTAGCACTTAGCATTCAGAGTGTGAAATAATTTTAGCTTTAGCTAAAACGTTGTATGTGTGACGGTGTGAATCTTAAGCTTTTATATTTTGGGAGGGTGGGTGATAGTAACCACTGACTATATACCAGGCTTTGGGATCCCAGTAACTTTTAGCACTTATTTTAGTAATACAACCCTTTGACCTGATACCTGACTAACTTGTTATTAATCCAGCAGTGTGGAGGCTATTTCTTTCCATGGATTTTGAGTGGTAATAACTGGCATTCTATACCAGAAGATAACGGTATGCTTTGTTTTTTAGAGGAATCTCTAAAATTTGTATCTATTTGCCATGCTCCATAAACATACAGAGATTAACAGGGTGGGGAAATATCAGAATGGTTATACCTCCAACAGGTTACTACAGACAGGCTCCTGTCAGAGGTATAAACATTCTAACTTTTTTATCCTATCAAATTGCCATCAATTGGCAGATGCAGGGGGCCCAATGTGGGACTCAATCCCAGGACCTCAGGATCACGCCCTGGGCCGAAGGCAGGCGCTAAACCACTGAGCCACCCAGGCGTCCCATGTATGTGACTTCTGATCTCGGGGCTATAAGTTCAAGCCCCATGCTGGGTGTAGAAATTACTTAAATACAAAAATCTTTAAAAAGCAAAAGACCAAGATACCGTTCATCCATATACGTATTAACTTCTAGCCATTCATATTATTAAAACTTTCTTCGATTTACAAGTGAAATAAGAACATAGAGCTAATCTTACAGGGCAACTCCAGACCCGGGTGGACAGTAGCATTTTTGACCATCGGGGGAGAATGGCGACCATCATCCATGTCCAGCTCTGTACACTGAGCTTCTCCGTGGATCACAGCTAACCCCAGACGCAGTCTCTCAGCATATGACTGGGCCCTATGAGAAAGACAGCGGGAAATGGAAATTCATGGAAAGAAAACCTAAGTGTCACTATCTCATCACTTTATTAATCATCAAATGAAAACATCATCTGAACTTTTACGGACACACAAAGGAATGATTTAGGCAATTCAGGAGATGGGGCCCAGACCAGAACGTAAATGCCTCAAGAGGCACAGGAGTTGAGATGTGGGCCAGCATCTGATTGTACATGATTCTGTTTCTCTGCTTTGTCCAATATTGTAACACTCATCTTCAGAAGATGGAACCTTGTTCAAAAAAGGTCTCTTAAAAACCATTGCCTGAAAAACGCTCATGGCCCTCTGTTTTCCTTTTCCTGAGAATCTGAAGGAAGAACTTCCTTTTCTCCTACAGGAAGGAAAACCGAGTAATTCAGGGACCGCCTTGTATTGTTTGGAGACTAGCGATAAAGCCCTGGTGGGAACAGGACAATACCGTGGGGGAAAGCTGGAGCCAATGAGCTTTTCCAGGCCAACATGATTACACGCTCTGAGTTCCCAAACAGCTCATTTTGACTTCAGAAGCACCCAAAAGGAATTTTTATGAATGTCCAACATATTTACCTTTTGGCAGCATCAGGAGACTTAGCTACTATGACTGCATTTCTGTAATTTGGAATCTAGATTTGAAGGAAAAATAAGAAAATACTGAAAAGTTATCACAAAGTAACACCTGGGTGCTGGTGTGACACTTTTCCCTCTCGTAACAATGATCCATACTAGCAATCAAATACTCTAGAGTTTCACTTACACGTTTAACACTTATCAATTAACATCATTGCAAAAGTACTGCTACATCAAGAAGATTAAAAAATAATTACTTCTTAACACCTTCATTTAAGAAAACATAAGCAAATTGCTAAAGATACTTAGAAGGAAATCCATTTTTAATGGCTTTAAAAAATACGATCGTCCATGCCTACATGCTGACCCTATCTGGCTGCCTCAGGCACTGAGACTTAAGGGAAAGACCATCTGATGTGCCTTTCAATATTGAAATCTGATACCAGAGAAAAACTACATAGGGTCTCTTTTGAGGACAATGGGGTGTTTGCTGGTGGCTCCTCACTTCTTCCTGGATATACTGAAGCAGGAAAGGTGAGGCTCTAAGGTTGTCCACGGGAAAGCTGAAAAAGCCTTGTATTTCCTTTTGATGAAGATCCATAGTGATAATGTGAGTTAAACCTGAAATTTTAAAACAAAAAATTACAACGTTCACCCCTACAAGTTAATGGCCACAGTGGACATAAACTAGACGCCCACTCCTGTTTCCTAACCGAAGCCTGAAAGCAGGGACTGTGTTGTGGACAGGCATATTAGTCATAGACTTCATCTGGAACCTCAAACAACACTTAGTGAGCTCAGAATGTTGTCAAGCCTCATGTCAAAGAGCCTATGACCTTCCACATGGAGAGAGAGCTAGAGCAGAGAGGAAGGTGCTCTCCTATACTATCCTAACTAGCTTGGTCCTGAAAATTAAGAAAAATCAGGCACAAGCAAAAATATGAATATGTAAAGTTAGAAAACATGGAAGAAGTAATGGGTGTAAAAAATAGGCCTTGACTAAAGACTCTAAGAAGTGTTAAAGGCCTGTGGCTAGAGCAGAAGGAATTAAGAATACAAAAGCTAAATAATACACATATTAGGAGATAAAAATCCATATACCACAAAGGTAAGATAGTGGAGAGTTTGGAACAATTTCTCAATGTCATAAAAGAATGAGTCAAGAAGTATTCTTATAGAAAAAAGATGATAGACATACTCTTATAATCAGTCGTGAACAAAAAAGGTACATATATAAAAACACTGCAGATAATCAAAGGTTACTGCAAACCCTCTAGAGCAAAGAACCAGTAATTACCCGTTCCTCCCCAAACAGCTACACATCTTGAGAGAGGATGGAATCCAAATGTTTCTCAGGACTTGAATGTATATTAGAGTTTTTAAGTAAACACGCCAGGCAAATAAAATCCCAATTACCATCAGGTGTTATTACATTTGATTCACGGGCCAGAAAGTATGTTGCCGCTACAAAAACACAGAATAAAAGCAATGAAAATGAGCTGCTATTCAGAAAAGACAGTCAGGAGGGGAAGAAAGGAGTACTACATAAACTGGAGAAGCCGCAGAAGAAAAACCCAGTTTAAGACTACGTACAAAAACAGCACCTAGCTAACCAAGGCAAATACGTAAATCTACACCTGAAGCTCGAAAGATCCCATTAGGACGCCAGGATCAGAGCTAAAGTTTCATGAGAAGATGAGATGGGGCAGAATGATGAGAAAGTCCAGGATTAGAGGAGAGACAACGTCACTGTCAAGTTAAGACAAAGAGGAGAGGAACACATGAGAGTTCACACCTAAGCTCATACACCCCTAACCAGAACTATCAAAAGAAAACAGGAAGGAAGTAATTAGTGAACAACACTTAAGAGAGAGGCCCCAAATTAGCTGAGGTAGGGACTAGTGTCAAGCAGAAAGAGTCCTAAGTGACAGGGCGGGCTCCCCGGGGCCTGCGTCCACACTCACCTGCTTTCGCCAGCATGGACGCCAGGAGCTTGCACACAATGGAACCCCTCTTCCGCATCTTGCTTTGCTTGCTGTAGGGGAAGTACGGGATGACTCCGATAATGTTCCTGGCACAGGCAGTCTTCAGCGCGTAAGCCATGATCAGCAGCTCCATCACAGCGGTGTTCACATCTCTGAAACAGTCGACATTTGTATTTGGGGGTTAGTTTCATTCATCAACCCCCCAAAAAGATGGAAAAGTCAGCCCAAGAAATGGGCTGCCAAGATGGGCGTCATGGGCATTTTGTCACCACACTGGCTTATGATGGCACCTCACAAATCCAGAGGAAAGCTTCTGAGCTCTTCTTTTTAGCTGCGCTTAGGTAAATCCACAGCAGTTATCCACGCTCACCTCTGCCTGGATCTTCTGTCAATGACACAGTCGCTGGAGTGGCATCGGAGGCAGACATCAACTGCTGGCCAGGGTGAACCAGCAGCCGCTGGCACCGTCCAGGGACGGCAGACTCAGGCCAGCGCACCGGCCCCCTGCTGCCTGTGACTGCCAAGGGAAACCCACTGCCCCTGCTAGTTAGCTGCCATCTCCAGAAAGGATGTGTTCTCCGTTCTTCACGGGGTAGACGGTAGGGTGGAGGATGGGGAGGTCTCGGAACTAAGTTTTCAAAAATCGCCTCATCCTTTTTTCCTCAAGATACACAGATGCCCAACAAAGATTACCCAGAGAGACAAAAAGAGGAATCTGAAAGACATTCGAAGGAAAGGCTACTTCCAGTTTTAATGAATGTGGATTGCTACCTTTTGCCAAGGCTGATTGAGCCTAATGTGGGCTCTGCCCTTAAAAAAGGTGAGAACCAGGTCACCTGGGTGGCTCAGTCGGTTAAACGTCTGCCTTTGGCTCGGTCATGATCTCAGGGTCCTGGGATCAAGTCCTGCAATGGGTTCCCTGTTCAGTGGAGAGCCTGATTCTCCCTCTCCCTCTGCCCCTCCTCCCCACTTGTGTTCTCACATGCTCTTCTCTATCCCTCACCCCTCCCAAATAAATAAATAATCTTCAAAAAAAAAAGGTGAGAACCTTAGGGCAGAGGGAAGGTCATCAGTGGGGCTTCAAGCTGAGTGCCTTGCATCACTCTACCACATGTCACCTGGGAAGGTCTGAGACTAGAGCCAAAAGTGGCCCTAACAGGGTCCTCCCTGGGTTTTGGAGAATAGGGCTCCCACACTCATGACTATATCCTCAAAAAAGAGGAAAAAAATAAGGTGAGAACCTTGAAATCCTTCAGAATGCTCTTCTAATGCTCAACCCTCCCTCTCCAGCCTCTTCCTACCCCTCTTGGATTATCCAAGAGTCCTCAGACACCCACCCTTTTGGGTAAGGAATGTATCTCCCCTGCCTTCCCAAAAAAGAGGATCATTTACCATGTCTTGGTTTCTATCCATGTGAGGAGTAGGCTCTCAGGTGTCCTTAAACTGTCTGCTACATAGCAGTGATGCTGCCCTCATTTATAGCAAAATGGAGAGTTTGCCATCAACATAGCAGACGACTTTATAATGCTTAGGTAGGTAAATGAAATACTCCTCAGGAGATTGCTTCTTAGCCTGAAGGACAGAGAGGCCATTTTCCCAGTCTCTCTGCCTCTCTCCAAGGGCGCCCATCCTTAGTGCACCTGGGCGTGAGACACTGCAAAGACATTCCTGCCCTCTGACAAGGATGTGTTTATGTGTTTTCCACATCCACATTCAACTTACAGAACACCAGCCTCACCTTTGTAATTCGGATTTTTTTTCTAAGTTCAGGGTTCAAACACTTTCAAGTGTTTGGGAATTCATTACACTTGGTCATTTTTAGTTCATTCATATATTCAACAAATACTTATTGAGCAATGTGAATCAGGCACCGTGTTAGGTGTTGGAGATAAAATGGCAAAGCCGACCACATTTCAAGAAAATGCCAGAGGCCCACATTGGATCACCTTTGTGGTAATCATTTGTCCTAAGAAAGAACACATCTAACTCAAGGTGCTGCCTCCCAAAGACTTCTATACTTGATTCTGCAGAGGGGAGAGCTTCCTTTCCCCCATCCGATCACCTAAATTGATGCCTTGTAGGTTCTGAATGTTAAGCTGGAAGGCTGCATAGCACTTGGGAGGACAGTGTGTGTAAATACTTCAGGAGTCCGTATTGAGACTGAACACCAGGCATCATATACACCATAGCAAAGTCCTCTTCTGCATATAGACTGTTTGACAATGTTAGAAGTACAATCAGAGCTTTCTTAACGTTCCACTGGTGTGCTAGTGTGTGGCACTGTAAAAGCTCCGCTGGCCACGGTTTCTTATCAGATCTCAATGCCAACAATATACTTAGAATGAAGTTAATTTAATAGATTCTGGAAGAGTATCTGTCCAGGTGGTGGGCTTTTAGCTGGCTTTGTGATAGCATTTACAATACACAACCACGGTCTACAATGAGGTTTCGACAACTCACCACAAGGTGGGCTCAGAGAGTAAGATGTTAATATAACAAGATGAACCATTTCAGAAGGGCCTTGATTTCAGCTTAACTCTTCTTACATTAATTACTTATTTCTGCCATGAGGCTTCATTTTCTACCTTTTCCTCTTCCTAATGACCTATGCCTAGGGATTCAACATCCTCCAGCTCAAGGCTAAGGAAAGCCTCCCACGCCCCACCCGTTTGGTCGGGAAGGCAACAAAAGAGCCTTTGTCACATTGGATTTCCCCATTCACTGCCAGACTAGGCAAATTGGACACCAGGCAGTTAATCTGTGGGCTAGCAGGGTGAAGAGAAGTTGGCTGGCAGCCTCTGCTTTGTTTATCTGTTCCCTAAGACTGTTCCAAGTACATCCTGGCTAGTTCTTGTAGTCTTTGTATCTAAGTAGGACAATCTTAATTGTTTACCGACTCATTTTTTTAAGATTTATTTATTTATGAGACACATAGAGAGAGGCAGAGACACAGGCAGAGGGAGAAGTAGGCTCCCTGCAAGGAGCCCAATTTGGACTCGATCCCAGGACCCCAAGATCATGACCTGAGCCAAAGGCAGATGCTCAACCACTGAGCCACCCAGGCGCCCCGGACTCATTTTTCTTTCCCCTAAGATAATCACATTCTATATTAAATTTGACCCTTACTGCTCTGTCGTTTTTGATAGACAAAGACAAAGGTAAGGAAACAGACATGGTCTATACACATCAACTGAACTGAGCAGGACTGCAAAGACAGGCCAACACCATAGATGGGAGTCAGAACCATGAGGTGACGGGGTAGGATTTCCCCCACTCATCACCTCAAGAATTAATCATTTGCAGCAAATAAATTGTAAATGTGCTTTAATGACCCTTCTTAGTCCCATCAACACACAAGAGCTTCTAACATAATCACGGAAACTGTCCTTCAAGAAACACTTGGTAAGCCTCATATCCATTTTACTTCCTTCCTTTGCTCAGTATATTGGGAAGCTCCCTGAATATCACACATTTCAATCATGCAACATAATCACTTCATTCAGAATGGCTTTTTGCCATTTCCAAATAATTAAATCCACCCTCAGTAATCAAAAATTTACATAACTGGAGTAGCCAAAAGAAATAGGCTGCAAGTGGTTTCGGAAGGTAAGCCCCACCAGCAAACAGAAAGGCCGGGAAGAAGCACACCAGAGGGTAGCCTCGTGGGGTGTCCAAGCCCCTCACTACATGGATTTTACTCCCAGGCAAGACCTTCAGGTCTCCCCCTCTTTCCAAGATCCAGATCAAACAAAAGCATGAGACAAAAAGAGTGCCATGACCAGGAGGCAACCAGCACAAAATTTAAACTGCTGGAGGACAAGAGGGCCATCAGAAGTAGCCATCATCACTGTACTCTATTGCCAACACTACAAGGGCATGGATCCTTATACCCAGCAATTCCGTTTCCTGGAATCTTCCAAGGTATCTGCCTAAACAGATAAATATGACATATGTGAAGGGCTATTGCCTCAAGCACCTTTTAGAGGCTATTGATGACTGATTCACCTTCCCACAGGGGAGGGAGGGGCTGAGTTCCAACCCTCTCAGCTGTTGATTGGTCCCCCAGGCAAAGAACCCCATTTCAAGGTTATCTAGGAGCTTCCAAAAAACCACCTCTGGTGGTTGTTGAAAGGGTGCTTGTTAAATAAAAGACACCTTTATTGCTTTTAGCCCTTAAGAAATTCCAAGGGTTTTAGGATCTCAGCACCAGGAAAGGGAGGAAGACAAAATATATTTTTCTTTTTTAATTTTTTTTTTAATTTTACGTAGGCTCCACGCCCAATGTGGGGCTCGAACTCACAACTTTGAGATCAAGAGCCACATGCTCTACCAACTGAGCCAGCCAGGCTCCCACAAATATATATTTCTTTTTACAAGTCACATTGTCACTGAGGCTAAAAATAGCTTCCGTGCCAGATTTGGTTTAAGGATGAAAGATGATACACATAAATGGTTGCACACATTTAGTGCCAATCTTATTACTAACACAGTCTCAGGAATCTAAATTAACCAAGACACGAAGGTCTGCATTTTTCAAAGACACACTTAGCCTCACTACCCCATTCTCTGAGAAGGGATGAGAGGAGATAATCCCACATGGAAGGTCACCCTCAGGTAGGCTAGGATTTCCCCTAAGGGAAGGAAGGGGGTGGCAGATGCTATCTACAATACAGACAGCTAGAAATGGGCCACTGTGGAAAGAACGAACGAAAGAAAGAAAAAAAATACAAAGAAATAAATACAGTGTCAAGATGGTCAAGAAAGAAAGAAAGAAAGAAAGAAAGAAAGAAAGAAAGAAAGAAGAAGAAAGAAAGAAAGAAAGAAAGAAAGAAAGAAAGAAAGAAAACAACAGTGTCAAGATGGTCTTGATGAGTATAAATCAGCAGCAGTTATGCATTGCGTTTAATAACAAAAAGCTTTTTAGCAAAGCTGAGCAGACATGGACCAGGTTCAGGGAATACAGAGCGGTTTAAAGCCTGGAGAGGAGGATCAAATAGTACAGTGTGACAAACAGGGTAGGAATGTCAAAAGCCTACAACTGGATTTTGGGAAGCATTTAGTTTAAAATGCGTACACATTTATAGTGAAAGGAAACTCAACTGTTGTTTATATGATTACACCGTAAATTTTATCACTACGATTTTTAGAGGAAAGGGGGTACATAAAGTTGTGCTCCCTCTTACCTGGGTATCGTCTGTATAATGAAAATATCTTGGCCACGAACAGATTCTTTTATTTCAACTCTTGTTTCTGAAAAATAAGAGTTCTGTAGTTTAAGAAAAGCACTTCATGATACAATAATTAGGCAGCATCTAGAAGGAGTAGAGATGAATCTAAACCAACACTTCATCTAGTGCACCAAAATAAATTCTGAATAGATCTCAGGATGACAAGCGTGTATACAAAAAATGTGAAGCTAAAAGGAAAATAAGGCAAAAATACGCCAAAAGGCAAAAGTAACACAAACAGGTCCACAGAAAATCTCAGGGTTCAAAAAGGAAAATTTATCACCAAAAGAAGACAAGATGCTTGGGGAAAAGTCTACAGCAAATAAAGAGGTCAAAGGTTAACATCCTCCTTTTAACAAATGCTGAGGCCTCCTTGGTGCCAGGCCCTGTCCTTGGGAGAACCTAGACCAAGTGTATGAAGACCAATCCAGGAGACACAGGAGACACAAAGGCTGGCAGACTTTTCAGGCCAATGTGCCAGAAAAAGACCAGGAGACGGGGCACCTGTCTGGTTCAGTCGGGAGAACAGGTGACTCTTGATCTCAGGGTCAAGAGTTCAAATTCCTTCCTTCCTTTCCTTCCTTCCTTTCTTTCTCTCTTAATTTATTCATTCATGAGAGACATAGAGAGGCAGAGACACAGGCAGAGAGAGAAGCCCTCCATCCCAGGACCCCAGGATCACACCCGAGCCAAAGGTAAACACTCAACCACTGAGCCACCCAGCTACCCCAGGATCAAAAGTTCAAACCCAACGATGGGTGTGGAGAGAAAAAGAAAGAAAGAAAGAAGAGAAAGAAAGAAGAGAGGGATCCCTGGGTGGCACAGCGGTTTGGCGCCTGCCTTTGGCCCAGGGCGCGATCCTGGAGTCCCGGGATCGAATCCCACGTCGGGCTCCCGGTGCATGGAGCCTGCTTCTCCCTCTGCCTGTGTCTCTGCCTCTCTCTCTCTCTCCCTGTGTGCCTATCATAAATAAAATAAAAAAAAAAAAGAATGAAGAGAGGAAGGAAGGAAGGAAGGAAGGAAGGAAGGAAGGAAGGAAGGAAGGAAGGAAGGAGGGAGGGAGGGAGGGAGGGAGGGAGGGAGGGAGGGAGGGAGGTGCCTGGGTGGTTCAGTCAGTTGAGTGCTGACTCTTGGTTTCAGGTCAGGTGGTGATGTCATGGGGAGTCCGCTTGAGGACTCTCTCCCTGTGCCACTCACTCCACTCCTGCACACTCTCTCATGGTGTACTCCCTTTCTCAAATAAATGAATCTTGAAAGAAAGAAAAAGAGAAAAAAAGAGGGAAAGGAAGGGAAGGGAAGGGAAGGGAAGGGAAGGGAAGGGAAGGGAAGGGAAGGGAAAGACCAAGAGATAGGACACCTGGGTGGTTCAGTGGCTGAGCATCTGCCTTCGGTTCAGGGCATGATCCTGGGGTCCTGGGATGGAATCCCACATCGGGCTCCCTGCGTGGAGCCTGCTTCTCCCTTTGCCTGTATCTCTGCCTCTGTCTTTCATGAATAAATAAATAAAATCTTTAAAAAAAGAAAAGAAAAAGACCAGGAAACAGAATAATGGGGCTCAGAGAATAACGGCCTCATTGCAAGCTAGGATGTGTACCGAGGAAGGGAGCATGGAACACCCAGAGATGTGAGGGCAGATGGCCAGTCAGCCCCCTGGAGAGCACAGTGAATGAGGGAGGGAGGTCAGGTAGCCAGCAGGGGCCAGACCATGCAGGAGTCTGGACTTCATTCTCAGGACAGGAGAGCCACTGGAGGAGTCGAGAATGGGAGGGGGTGTGATCTCTGGCTGTTCGTGAAGAGAACAGGAGGGCGACAGTGGCAGAAAGGAGTATCCCACGTACCAACGGTGGGCCGGGCCAGAGGATCTAGGACGAGCAGTGAGTGGACAGAGCTCAGATCCCAAAAGGTCCTGTGTGATCGCTAGGGAGAGCAGACTCTGGAGAGCAGGATTTCGGTGGAAGTAAAAAACATTTGCATTTCGGAAACATCCTGGTGGCCTAGGGAGACTGAAATGGAGGTAGGAAGGCCCGTCAGCAAGCTACTGCAACAAGCCGCAGAGAGAGGGAACGAGGGAGAGGAGGCCTAGAATAGTGATGGGAGGATGGAGAACAAGGTCTTCATTTTTTTTTTTTTAAGATGTCTTAAAGATTCGAGAGAGTGTGTGTGCACCTGCACATGAGGAGGCGGGGGGAGAAAGAGAATCCCAAGTAGACCCCTCCAGCTGATCGTGGAGCCCAAGGTGGGCTCAATCTCAAGACTCTGAAATCATGACCTGAGCCCAAACCAAAAGTCAGATGCTTAAATGACTGAGCCACCCAGGCACCCTGATAAAATTAATAAATAAATACTTAAAAAAAAAAAAAACTGCCTTCTCTTCTAGTGCATATTTTCAGGAGGTTCCCAAACGCCAGCACCATAAATTAAAATTGTTATTGCTAAGTAAACTAGCTCACTTATCTGCATTCACCTTCAGGTTTATTTTTGGTGGTGGTGGGAGGGTCCTTTTAAAGATTTTTACTTAAAATTTTTTTATTTATTCATGAGAGACACAGACAGAAGCAGAGAAAGAAGCAGGCTTCATGCAGGGAGCCTGATGTGGGACTTGATCCCGGACTCCAGGATCATGCCCTGGGCGGAAGGCAGACACTCAACCGCTGAGCCACCCGGGGGTTCCTAAAGATTGATTGATTGATTTAAATTTTTTAAGATTTATTTATTTTAGAGAGAGAGCATGAGTGAGTGCATGTGCAGGGGGCAGGGTAGAGGGAGGAGAATCTCAAGCAGAACTCCCCTCTCCACTGAGCATGACACGGGGCTGAATCTTACCACACCTGAGCTGAAATCAAGAGTCCACACTTGATGGTTTGAGCCACACAGGTGCCCCCACTTCTGGGTTTTTAAATACCAATATCTCATAAAATTTCTAAAGTCACCAAGTAAAAACTAAGTGTGGGGGCACCTGGCTGGCTTAATCAGAGGAGCATGCCACTCTTGATCTGGGGGTTGTGAGTTTGAGTCCCATGTGGGGTGTAGAGATTAATAAAACTTTAAAAAAAACAAGTTACTAAGTGTGGAAGCTGGCTGAAGGCTATCTGCGGGCTAATTATAAGAAACATGGAACTTATAACATCCTGGACGTTATGTGCTTTCCACTAAACAATCCATTACATTAGCTCTTTTCAAATACCTTGCTTTTTAATTTTTTAAGAAAGATTTTATTTATTGAGAGAGTGAGAGCACAAGCAGAGGGAGCAGCAGAGGGAGAGGGAGAACCAGACTTTCCACTGAGCAGGAAGTCCAACACAGGGTTCGATCCCAGGACCCTGTGATTATGATCTGAGCCAAAGGCAGACGCTTAACCGACTGCGCCACCCAGGCGCCCCTACCTTGCTTTTTTTTAGATCTTCGAACGTCAATTAGGTCTTAGTAATTTATCTCCTCAAACTACTTCTACCATAGATAGTTATACCTTAGAAAGAAGAAACGAAGCACAGAATCATAAACCTAGGCTTTCAATTTTACGAAAATAGCTCCAAGTTATTTTATATTAACTTGTCTTTGCAGGGTATTATAATCTGAAGTATGTGGCCAGGGAGACTGATGATGCAGCATTCCTAGGACACTAGCCATCAACAAAGTGCTCTCAAGCATTATCTTTTAACGTTACAATTTTCCACAGGAACGCAGAGGGCAGCAAAATGGCTTATCATCCCGGGATGAGAGTCTACAAGAGACTTGAGAGAAAAATTTACAGATGAGAGAACTCAAAGATGGTTTTTCAATAAATCATTACTACCTGGTACCAGACTGCTCTTGATGCCAGTTGATTACCTAATGAGACAGATAAATGTAAAAGGTACTTATCAAATGTAGCCCGATATAGAAGGAAAAACATATTCTTTACATCTCTCCTTTTTCCACTGTAAAATGACAGGACGTTTGCATTATCTTGGGGGAAAAGGGAAGGAGATTAAAAAAGATAACAGAGAAAGAAATCAAGACTTGGAGGGGAGTAGAGAGGGATGGCTCATACCTGGAGTTAAAGAGAAAAATGTGTTACACGTAAGTAATATTTGCCTTTTTTTTTTTTTTTTTTTTTTAATATTTGCCTTTTTTCATGGCAGCCCGGGTGGCCCAGTGGTTTAGCACCACCTTCGGCCCAGGGCGTGATCCTGGGGACCCTAGATCAAGTCCCGAGTTGGGCCCCCACATGAAGCCTGCTTCTCTCTCTGTCTCTGCCTCTCTCTCTCTGTGTCTCTCATGAATAAATAAAATCTTGAAAAACAAATAAATAAATAAAAACATGTCCACTAACCATAGAGAACAAAGAATGTTTAAGAAATCATTTTAACTCACCTCCATTGGTCTCTTGATAGACCACAGATTTCCCCAATTCAGCACCAAGACGCCTGTGGGGAGGGAAAGACAATGAAGAATGCTCTTTTTCATTAAAAAAACCCTCCAGTTCATACACGTATGTTTAACAAAAAGGCTAAAATAACTAGACTAGAATTCTCTCCCCAAAAAAGTTTAACGTGTGAAGAGCTACACATCTGCTACCACACCACAAGCAGCTTCAAGTGCCTGCCACTTTGTGACAAGCTGCTTTCCCCGGGGCCACAGCCCAAGTTTCCTGCCTAAATTCATTGTTTTCTGAATAATAACCATCTTGCAAAAATCACTCCCTGACAAATGTCTGGTTATTAGCACTAGCTCCAAAACCACAAGCCAGAGGCAAAGGCCTCAGTTGTCAAAATCATATTGACTTCAGTGCCATTGATCAAATGCAGTGTGAATCTTGTTTGGATCCTGATTAGAACAAACCAAGTTTAAAAAGCCATTTCTGAGACAGAGAAAATACAAACAAGGACTTGATACCATATGATATTAAGGAATTCATGGTGTCATAGGTTGTGGTTTTCTTTTTTAGATTTTATTTTTAAGCAAGCTCTACACCCAACGTGGGGCTTGAACTCATGACCAAGAGATAACGAGTGGCATGCTTCACCAAATGAGCCAGCCAGGCACCTACTGCAGCAGGTGTTTTTAGTTAGCAGTTGGCATTACCACTTTGATGAGTGAAATGCTATGATGTAGGGATAGAACCTGTTTAGAAATACTCAGCCAGGTACACAGTGGAGCCGTGAGGGAGGACATGGGGTTTGAGGTTCGTATTGAGGACTACGGTGGCTTCCAGGGATTGGACGACACCTCAGATACACGGCCTCTGGCCAAGCGCCTGTGATTTCTGACTGTTGAGCATTCTTGTAACCCAGTGCTTGCAGCTTTCCCTCAGGTTTGCTGTGGCTGAACCAAGAAAGGAGCACACACTGATTTCTACAGAAATTACGATTCCATGATAGATTTTGAGATGAAGAAGGCTGCTGTCTTTCAGAGTGCAAAGTGATTTTGGAACATCAAGAATTTCTTTGGGTAACGGAAGTTTGCCACTGACCTGGCGTTCCCCAGCTATGAAACGTGAATATTGAGGTATGAAATAGTTTCTCTTGATAAAATTAACAAATGGTGTGCACAGTATGTGTAAATAAATAACTGAATGAAATTATTCCAGTCAGGCCTACAATGGAATACTATTCAGCCTTAAAAAGGAATGGGGAGAAAAAAGGAATGAAATTCTGATACATGCTATAATACAGATGAACCCTGAAAAAATTATTCCAATAAGTCAGACACAAAAAGACAAACATTGCGTGATTCTATTTATAAGAGGTACTTAGAATAGGCAAATTCAGACACAGAAAGTAGAATAGAAATTACCAGGACTGGGAGGGAAGGGATAAGGGAGTCAACTGGATATGGAGTTTCTGTTCGGGATGATGAAAAATTTCTAGAAATGGATCCTGGTGACAGTTACAAAACACTCTAGGTGTACCTAAAGCCACTGAATGGTACACTTAAAAACTGTTAAATGGTACATTTTATGTTATGTATATTTTACCATAATTAAAAAAAAATACTCCTTGGGGCACCTGGCTGGTTCAGCCAGTAGAGCATGTGACTCTTGATTTCCTGGTCATGAGTTCAATTCCCATGTCAGGTCTACTTACTTAAAGAAAAAACAAACTCCAGCCAAAAAAAAAAAAAAAAAAAGGTGAGATGGGTAAAATAAATGAAATAAGATTAACAAAAAGTTACTAAATTGAAAATGGATGAGGATATACCGGGGGTTAATTTTAACACACGTGTAACTTGCACACATCCTGGGAATGTAACCCACCTAACTTTTTTATGGATTAAAATGCATAACCCAAAAAGTTTGAAAATCCCTGCTTGGAAGTTTAGATCCAAAAGAAATCCTGGAAATAAAATATCATAACCTCAGGGACCTTCAAACTTTGCCTAGTGATAAAGGCCTTTTTCCAAATAAAATCTTACTCAGAAAGTCAAGATCTGAAACAGATAAAGGAAGCATTTACAAACATTATTTATAGTAATTTAAAATACTTCTGGAACAAGGCAATACTTCTGGAAGAAGCTAATATTTAAAAAAGCAAAACCACTGCCGTTTTAAAGGTGCCCTCCTCCCTCAGCAAGGTCACTGTGGCATATCTGACCCAAAATAAACAAACATGAGCTTTATGTTTAAAGTTAGCATTTTAGTTTGGCCTCAAAAAGCCAGATATTCATTGGGAGTTAGAAACAAGGCAGTAGACTGCAAAAGGATTTGCTCTTCTAATCTCGCTGAAATACTCCAGCTGAAGAGAACATAGTATTACTGAGAAAACAGGACTCTTAAATGACCCTTCTACGTTCCTGCAAACATTTACAGACTCTGAAAAATCCAGGGGAACTCTAACGTAGGTTGTTTTAAGATACAAAAATAACTTCAAATATTAAAAAAAAACAAGCTCTTCGTTTTAGATCTTAACGTTTGTCACGAGTTTATTTGGAAAGGGCTCCTGAGGCCGTCCCTTTACATGAGAGCCCTGGGACTCTCCAGAAGAGCCAGCTAGAGAAGAGGCCAGCCGGGAGCCTCCGCTGCGCTCCGTGCTTTATCTGTATTATTTGGTTTCATGCTCACAATGTTCCTGCCCAGTAGACAGCACCGTCCTTATCTTACCCGTGAAATTCAGAAAAGTCAAATCTCTTGCCCAGTGCTGCCACGGGGCTAGTAGGTGGCAGGGCTGGAGAAGGAATCTCAGAAGCCACTTGAGATCACCGGCTTCCTTGGGTTTTCTTGTTTGTTTGTTTTAAAAAACACACGGAAAGGCAGAGATTTCTCCTCCAAAATGATGGAATCTAAAGTCGACTTTAGGAAATGCGGTTAGGCTTCTATTATTCGCGGGCAACCCGGATGGCTCAGGTTCAGCCCAGGGTGTGAGCCTGGAGACCCGGGATCGAGTCCCGCATCGGGCTCCCTGCATGGAGCCTGCTTCTCCCTCTGCCTGTGTCTGTGCTTCTCTCTCTGCCTCTCTCATGAATATCAAAAAAAAAAAAAAAAAAAAAGACTTTATTATTCCCGGCACCAACTCCGACAGATTCAGCTTCCCCTGGAGTTGCCTCCTTCCCACTGCCCTCCCCTCCGCCTCCGCTTCCTGGGAGCATCCTGCGCCTCCCACCTGCAAGGCCGTGCAGCCGCCCCCCGGGTGCAGCGGTCCCCCCGGCGCCACCCGGCCGGGTCGGGAGCCCCCCCCCCGCCCCCCGGAGACCCGGGAGTGGCGACGCCAGCCCCCAGGCACCGCGCCCGGGCCGCGGAGTCGCGGCGAGAAGCCGGAGAACGGGCGGAGCGCGTCCCCGCCGCCGGGTCGGGCCCGGAGCCCCGCGGAGGGCGGCGCGCAGGGCAGGGCGCCGGGACGCCCGCTTACTCGGTGATGCGCTTGGCCAGCTCGGTGCAGGCGGCCGTGGAGTTGGCCGAGAAGACCCGGTAGCCGGTGCGGGCGGCGTTCATGGCCGGGCGGGCGGCGGGGCGGGCTCGCGGGGCGCGGAGGGTCGAGGACGCGCAGAGCGGCGGCAGCAGCAGCAGCTTCTTGGGCATCGTCCGGCCGGCCGGCGCGGGGCGGCTGCGAGGGCGCCGAGACCCCCGGCGCGGGCGCGGACAGGCCGGAGCCCCCGAGGGTGCGCGCAGCGGCGGCCGCCGAGGGCTGGGGCGGGACCCACGCTCGCCGCCACCGGCGTATCAGCCGCCTCCGAGCCCGGGGCGAGGACGCCGCCCCCTCTGGGCAGCGCCGAGACGCGGCCTAGAGCGTCCCCGGAGCCGCCATCTCAGGTGAGGGCGCGGCGGTGGGCAACTCTCCCGAAGCTTGTCCTGCCGGGGGAAGCCTCGCGAACCGCTCCGCCGCTTGCTTCCGTCGCTCCCCCGGGAGCTCTTCTGCTCTCACGCTCTTGGGCGGCGCCGCCTGACTTGATAGCGGCCCGAGCCGCTTCCAAATCTTCTGCCAGGATCCAAAATGTCTGCGGCCGAGGAGGCTGACGCTCTAGCTCCGCGTCTCTATGCTAACACGGCCGAGCGGCCGGCGGGGCTGGAACGCCCAGCTGGGATTGATTTGAAAAGTGGGGGGCGGGGTCGCTTTCCGCGCGTTGCTTGCACCGCCCCGGAGGTGGTGCGTGGACCCGAGCCCGGCCTTTAATCCGCAGACTGTCCCCTGGAACCTGCACCTAGGGCAAGGTTCCCTGAGCGGGTCAAAGGACTCCTGCCTGCTACTGCTTTGCTCGCGGTCACGGAAGGCCTCCCTCCGCTTCCACGTGCCCGCGTCCCTTAAGGACCTACTCCCCTCGGACGCAGTGGCATCTGCTCGGCGGAGTCCCGCTCCATCACCTCAGTCACCAACGCCCTCCGCCCCGGGACCGGGCCACGTGCGCTACGAGGCACAGTTGCTTGTGCTTCATTCATTCATGGCTGTGCACCGGCTGCCTTCCCTAACTGGGTTAGAGACCCTCCTCGGGCAGGATCCTGTAAGATTCAGGGCTTCAGATTTCCCGGTGTCCAGAGCAGTGTTGTGGGCCCCAGGGGAACGCTGTCAGTACATGTCGACGGATACCCAAGAATTGCAAGGAGGGGGAAGCCGATGTGGGTCACTGGTTATCAGCCGCCCCAGGACTGGGGAGGTTGGCAGGTGCTGTGCTTCTCACACACCCACTACCGGCTAATGAAAATACCTTTTAGGGACTCTGCCCGCTGTGACATTGGGCCTGAGGGAACCATAGACTGTGACTCATCACTGCAGGGAGGCTGATGATCCTAAAGTTCAAAACCCTGCCCCCCCCATCTCCCCCATCCCCCCCCCCCATTTCCTCCATTCCCCACCCCCACCCGCAGCAGCCTGATCCACCTTCTGCTTCTGGCTTTCCAGAATTACTTGCCCCGCCTACCCATAAAATATATATTTTTTAAAGCACATAAGTTAAATAGCCTAGGTCAAATTATTTTTAATTTATTTTATTTTTTAAAAGATTTTATTTATTTATTTTAGAGAGAGAAGACCTGAGTGGAGAGGGGTGGCGAGAGGCAGAAGGAGAAGGAAAGACCTCAGGCAGACTGAAGCTGAGTAGGAGGCTGCAGAGGGGCTCCATCCCACAACCCTGAGATCCTGGCTTGAGCCAAAAGCGAGTCAGATGCTTAACGGACTGAGTCACCCGGGCGCCCCCAAATTACTTAACCATAAGCCTTGTCACCCTTTTTTTTTTTTTAGATTTTATTCTTTTTTTTTTAGATCTTTATTTATTTGTAATATTTACTTTTTATTTTTTTTTAAGATTTATTTATTCATGATACACACACAGAGGCAGAGGGAGAAGCAGGCTCCATGCACTGGGAGCCCGACGTGGGATTCGATCCTGGGTCTCCAGGATCGCCCCTTGGGCCAAAGGCAGGCGCCAAACCGCTGCGCCACCCAGGGATCCCTCGAGATTTTATTCTTAAGTAATTACACCAAACGTGGGGCTCAAACTCACAACCTGACATCAAGAGCCACATGCTCTAGTGACGGAGCCCGCCCGGCGTCCCAAGCCTTAATTCCCTTCTAAAACAAAAGGAAACCACTTCCCTTCACATTTTCCTATCTGTATCCCCCAGATCCCCTGTACTGTGTTCGTTTTCTCAGATCTCCTGGAACTGTACCACCTCTATTCCCTTTTAAGTCAACATGACCAGAAGATTCCCAGCCGATAAATCCCAGAAGTCAGCTTTTACTCTTCTCTTTCCCTCCCTTTCTACATCTATCCACTTATCCATAGGTTAACATTTACTCAGCACCTGCTATTTGCCAGGCCTGTGTTAGGTATTTCAGATACTTTAGTTAAAAAAAAAAAAAAAAAAAGACAAAAACTCCTACCCTGGAGGAGTACAATCTACCAAGGGAAGAGAGATTTAAAAAATGAACAAACAGGGATCTCTGGGTGGCGCAGCGGTTTGACACCTGCCTTTGGCCCAGGGCGCGATCCTGGAGACCCGGGATCGAATCCCACGTTGGGCTCCCGGTGCATAGAGCCTGCTTCTCTCTCTGCTTGTGTCTCTGCCTCTCTCTCTTTCTCTGTGTGACTACCATAAATAAATAAATTTAAAAAAATGAACAAACACAGTAAGTGAATAATTATGGAGTATGGTAGCAGGTGTATTTTTTTCCTCTTGCTGCAGTAACAAAGTACCACAGACATAGTGGCCTAAAACAACAGAAATTTATGACCTTCCAGTTCTGGAAGGTCATAAATCCTAAAATCAAGGTGTTGGCAGGGCTGCATTCCTTCTGGAGGTTCTGGGGGAGAATCTGTTTCCTTGTCTTTTCCACTTTCTAGAGGCTACATGCATTCATTGCTCCTGGCCCCCCTCTTCAAAACCAGCAGCATAGCATCTTCAAATGTCTCTCTCTCTCACCTGTGCTTCCATCGTCCTAGCCTTCTGATGAAGTTTCGGAATATAAGTGAGGTTTGGGGGGACGAGGTCCAGAGCTGATGACCAAGAAAGAATTCTTGAGACGTCTTTGGTGCAAAATGGTTGTTTTATGAAAGCCCAGGGACAGGCCCCGTGGGGAAGAGTGGCTGCCCGGGGCCTGTGAGGGGTGGCTGATTATATCTCTGGGAGCTGGGGGGGGGGGTGTTTAGGGAGAGCGCAAGTCTCTAAGGAATCTTGGAAGCAAGGTTCCCAGGACTTGGGGGGTGGGTCTGGCTAATGTTGGGAAAAGGTCACTCATTACCGCCTAATAAAACCTGAGTCATGAGACCTTCAGATGTACATCAGTGGGTCATGTGCCTGGGGGGTGATCGCCAACACGTACCTTGGGGGTTTAGAGATAAAGGAAATTTCTAAAGGAATTTTTATATGTTAAAGTAGATTCACAGGATCCTGGGAGTTGGGCTACGATTGCCTTTCGCCCTCAGCAAAGTATGAACATCGAGGCAGTTGGTCCCTAGAGGAAGGTCCCTCTGCCTGTTTCACGGACTTGTCGATGTGCTGCCCTAGGCTCGTGCTTTGTCCTCAGCCAGCCCTGTTCCCCCATCACTTCCCCACTCTGACACCCCGGCCTCCCTCTGATAAGGACCCTTGTAAATTCATCGGACCCAATGGGATATGCAGTATAAAGCTGTATTTATTTATTCATGAGAGACACAAGAGAGGCAGAGACACAGGCAGAGGGAGAAGCAGGCTCAAGGCGGGGTGCCCGACGCGGGACTTGATCCCAGGACCCCGGGATCACGACCTGAGCTGAAGGCAGACACCTGATCACTGAACCACCCAGGTGCTGAGGACATGCAGTACAATCTTCCCTCTCAGGGACGTTAACTTCACATCTGTGAAGTCTCCATTACCATATAAAGTAATCTATTCACGGGTTCTAGGGAATGGGATGTTAGCATCTTTGGGGGCTGTTAGTGTGCCTACTGCAGAAGGCAAAAAAACTAACCAACCACCACCACCAACAACAACAAAGAGGAGAGCAGAGGAAGGGGGTTCTGGAGAGGGGTAACAAGCTTCGTCTTTTCTACCTTCCAAAGACCTGTAGCATCCCTCCCAGCCCCTTCACCCGCCACAGGTCTGTCTTGGGTCAGCAGGGCCTCCCTGTGGGTTCCTCCACCGTGATCTCTTTCTCATCCAGGACCTCCTTCACTTAACTTGTCGTGAGAATCACCTGATAGATTGGAGTCTATGCTTTGGACGCTCCTCATTCAACAACTTGGAAACTAGTGGCTCAGTAGGTTAAGCATCTGCCTTTGGCTCAGGTCATGATCTCAGGGTCCTGGGATCAAGTCCCATGTCGGGCTCCCTGCTCAGCGGGGAGCCTGCTCCTCCCTCTCCCTCTGCGTGGGGCTCTGCTTGCTTGTGCTCTCTCTGTCTCTCTCTCTCTGTCTCTCTCTGACAAATACATAAAATAAATCTTTAAAAAAAATGGGATGCCTGGGTGGCTCAGTGGTTGGGCATCTACCTTCGGCTCAGGGCATGATCCTGGGGTCCTGGATCAAGTCCCACTTTAGGCTCCCCGCTTCCGCAGGGAGCCTGCTTCTCCCTCTGCCTGTGTCTCTGCCTCTCTCTGTGTTTCTCATGAATAAACAAATAAAATAAAATAAAAAATACTAAAAAAAAAAAACCAAAAAACAACAACAACAAAAAAAAACTTGGAAAATACTTAGTAATCCATTCTCCACATAAGCCGGAGGGAGACTTACATTTACGGACGTGATGGTGACTCCCCTCCAAACTGATCAGTGGCTGCCTGTCACTTTTAAAATTAAAGACAAACCTTCTTGACACAAGTGCTGTAAGGTCTGCCTTGTGATCTCGCCCATCCCTGTGTCTTCAGCTTTATCCTTTTATTCTTCCATTGGCATCACCCTGACTGGTTTCATGTAGTTCTTTTTTTTTTTTTTGGTTTCATGTAGTTCTTCACTCACCCCGTCCCCTGCTGCCACAGGGCTTTTGCATGTGCTATTCTCACCACTCCTACCGCCCACTCTGCTCATACTCATCGTTGGCCCTGAAGAGCCTTCTCAGACCTCTCTGACTGGATCCGAGGCCCCTGCTATTGCCTTTCCCAGCAATATGTTCTTCTCTCTCATACATTGGTCACACTTGCAAATTTATATTTTGTAAAGACCTCCAGTCGGAACCCTGTATCCTTTCTCCTTTCTTCTTTTTAGTGATAGAACCAGCCCAGCTAGGGTCCTGCCCCAGCTTTCCTTGCAGCTGATATAGCCTCGTGACCACATTTGGCCAGTCGAGTGAGAACAGAGGTGACCTGTACAGTGCCCAGGCATCTCCTCCCCCAGGTCGCCCACTGTCAGGAAATGACAACCACTGGAACATCCGCTGTGGATCCAGAGGTGGAGGCCACATGCTGAGGATGCAGGAGCCAACTCACCACATGAGTCGCTGGCCGAGCTCTGGAAGCAGAGGACCTGCCAGCCCTAGACCACCCACCTCTGCTCTGTTACACATGCAGGTAAGGTAGAGATCGGCTTGTACCTTACTTAAAGCACTGGATGCTGGGGGCTTTCTTTTGGAGCAGCTTAGCCTGTCCCCAACTGGACCCCACTGGTTGGGTGATTGTTTATCTCCCGCCAGACTTAACTCGGAGAGGCAGGGACAGACTCTGCTCGCCCTTGCATCCCTATCTCTGGACTAGATCCATCCGGTGTGGTCAGTCCTTCTCGACTACATGAGTCTCTGATAAGAAATCACAAAATGTAAAATTGGAAGCTCTCACCCGCACAAGGCCCCAAAGTCAAAGTTCCTATGAACTTCCCTTATCCCTCCACTGATAAGATAGGGAGGAAGGGCCGTGAAAGATGAATATGGGATAACCTTTTGGGAGCCACCTTACCGTCCCCAAATACAGCCGGTTCCCAGACGGTCCCAGGATGAAGCCAGGATTTGAGCACCCACTGTCACCAGAAGCGCCCTCAGGCTGGGTGGTTAATCTCAGCTTTGGATCAGGAACAACAGAGCCATGTTCTGTTTTAATGCGATGCTTCATGAAAAATGAACATTTGGGGGCACCTGGGTGGCTCAGTTGGTTAAGTGGCTCTTGATTTCTGCTTGGCTGTGATCTCAGGGTCATGAGATCAAGCCTTGTGTTGGGCTCCGTGCTCAGTGGGGAGTCGCTTGAGATTCTGTCTCAGGGACGCCCGGGTGGCTCAGCGGTTGAGCATCTGTCTTTGGCCCAGGGCATGATCCTGGAGTCCCGGGATCGAATCCCACATCAGGCTCCCCGTAGGGAGCCTGCTTCTCCCTCTGCCTCTCTCTGTGTCTCTCATGAATAAATAGAATCTTTTTAAATAATGAACATTTGAAAAAACAGATGAACATTTGGATTACACTGTTGAAAGTTTTCCCCAGATTATTTTCTTTTATAAAAGATTTTATTTATTTATTTGTTTATTTATTTATGTATCTATCTATTTGTTTATTTATTAAAGAGAGAGAAAAAGATATCAAGAGACAGCATAAGCAGGGGGGAGGGGAAGAAGAAGGGGGAGAAGCAGGCTCCCCACTGAGCAGGGAGCCAGCCCCACATGGGGCTCAATCCCAGGACCCTGGGATCATGACTCCAGCTGAAGGCAGACGCCCAACTGGCTGAGCTGCCCAGGCAGCTGCCCACCTGATTGTTTTCTTTTTCTTTCTTTCTTTCTTTTTTTTTTTTTTTTAAAGTAATCTCAAGATGCCTGGGTGGCTCAGTCAGTTAAGCATCTGACACTTGATTTCAGCTGCAGTCATGATCTCAGAGTGGTGAGAGGGTGCCCTGCGTCCGGCATCCTGCTTAAGATTCTCTCTCCCTCTCCTGGCCCTGCAGCCCCCACCATGTGCCTGCTCGCACTCTCTCTTTTTAAAAAAATAAAATAGGGGCACCTGAGTGGCTCAGTGGTTGAGTGTCTGCCTTTGGCTCAGGTTGTGACCCCAGGGTCCTGGGATGGCTTCTCCCTCTGCCTGTGTCTCTGCCTCTCTCTGTGTGTCTCTCATGAATAAATAAATAAAATCTTTAAAACAAACAAACAAATAAATAAATAAATAAGAAATAAAGAATCTCTATGCCTCACATGGGGCTCGAGCTCACAACCCCAAGATCAAAAGTCGTACGCTCCACCAACTGAGCCTACCAGGTGCACCCTGCACACACACTTTATTTTCTACATGAATAATTAATGTGGCATCAGTGTGGCTCCCAAAGATGTCTGGGAGAAGGTACCCCTAGTGCTTATCCCAGGGCCTGGCTCGTAGTAGGTGCTCAACATGTATTTGTGGACACTGTGGGTGATAATGGCTAATAGCTGTTGGTCTCTTATTCAGGGCTCCTGTCTCCTCTGTCCTTCTTCTCTGGTATTTTGAGCCCACCCATCCCATCCGTGCCCCAGATCCCCTGGTTAAAGGCCTCCGGGCCTCCCCACTGCCTACAAGCCCAAACTCCTGATCTGGCCCGTCTCCAGGCCCATCTCCTGCCTTCCCACCTTGGGCCACACTCTGGATGTGTGGCTTTCTGAACAGTTTGCCATTTGTTAAAAATAGCTTGGTTTCGTGGTTTCTCGTAGCTGAGAATCTCTGTAACTGTCACTATGATTTTTTTTCTTTTTCCGTTTGTAGAGATGTGTTGCTTGATTTTCAAACTTGGGGAAATTTCTTGTGATCCATTATTGGCTTCTCATGTAATCCCATTTGGTGAGAGGCCTCCCAGGATTTATTCTGTTGAAGTGCACTGAGTTTCTGAAGCCTATGATTTGGTGTCTTTTCTCAGATTTGAAAATTCTTGGCCAAGTCTCTTCAAAGATCGCTTCTGTCTCATTCTGTCTTCTTCTGGGACTCCCTGCCACATTCCATAGACCTTTCCACCCTGTCCCTGGTCCTCGCATTGTTCTCTGCTGGGTTACTCGGAGCCCAGCCAGGGGATGTGCCCTGTTTAGGAGTCGATCAGCAACTGGAAAATGATTTGTTCACGGATTTGTGCAGTTCTGACCTCTCCAGGAATTTGCTCCCTAAAGTCCCAGTCACTTTGGCGGCTCAGATGCTGACAGCTGTCTCTGTAGTTAAAACTGCTACTTTCTGCTTGGACTTGACTGGTCCCAGCGCCCAGGGTGGACACGAAGACACCTTCAGGGAAAAGCCTGGGCGGCTGGAAAACTTAACTTCAGTGACTTTGTTCTCTGTACGGATCACAGCTCTCAAGCCTATTTTTCCCTGGGTGCTCTCTAGTGCCATGTTGCCATATATATATATAATATATAATATATATATATTTAAAATATTTTTATTTATTTATTTATGAGAGATACAGAGAGGCAGAGACATAGGCAGAGGGAGAAGCAGGCTCCCTGCGGGGAACCCGATGCAGGACTTGATCCTAGGACCCTGGGATCACAACCTGAGCCAAAGACAGATGCTCAACCACCGAGCCACCCAGGTGCCCCTCTGGTGCCATATATATATCAGGGGTTTTGCATGTACATATCTGCCAGCTTTTGTTCAGTGGAGGCATGAGCATGATACCAGCTTCTCTTTTGTGGGTGGACCCAAAGTCCTGACTGTCTTTGGACATGACATTTGGCCATAGAGGGTCTGTCCCCAGGATCACCCAACTGGAAAGCTCCTTCTCCTGCTTGAGAACTCTGCTTCGGCTTTTCCTTTCCTTAGCTGGTCCTGGCCTCTTGACCCCATCCTCAGTAGGGGGTCCAGGGCCTTAGGCTAGCTTGCACCACTTTGGCTGGTGGGAGGTATTAGCAGGATTGGAGGTGGAGGGAGGGAAGAAGCGGTGGGTGCCTCTCTGCTCCTACGCAGGTGTCCTCAGCATTGGCTGCAGGTGTGACTTCCATGCTTTTGCAGTGATCCTGTGACTCCTGCCAGGGCTCTGTCCCTCATCCCCACCACTGTTGCTCTGCACCAGGTGGCCTCCCTACCCCAGGGTTGGCTTCTCAGCACCTTCCCGCATCTGTGTCACCTGTCAGCTACACGAAATTCCCTCTATTTTGAACATCTGAGTGGTTGCTCTTCCTCTACATGGACCCTGACTAACAAGCTCCTCTTTCCCTTACTCTCCTACTCTCCTGTTTGGCCCTTTGTATTGAAACAGTTTGCCTGTGCCTTTTTTTTTAAGGTTTTATTTATTTATTAGACAGAAAGAGCATGAGTCAGGCAGTGCAGAGGGAGAGGAAGAAGCAGGTCCCTTGCTGAGCAAGGTGCATGACCCGGGACTCGATCTCAGGACCCTGAGATCATGACTGAGCCTGAGATCATGACCTGAGCCGAAGGCAGATGCTTAACTGACTGAGCGCCCCAGGCGCCCCTGCCTGAGTCTTTCTTAGTTAAGGCTGAGGGTAAATTGCAGGAATAGGAAGGGGAGAGCCAGGCCCCTAGGGGACCCATCTCTCAGCACTCCCTGGGCTTTGCAGTGATTCCAGGATGCCCCATGGTGGCTGATGGTCTGGCCCGGGCCCTGGTAGGGGTCATGCCTCAGCATCACATCTGGCAGGCAGTCTTGGCCATGGTCTGGTTCATCGTCCCCTATTTCCCAGGTAGCGACGTCCTCCTCCTGAGGAGCAGGGGTGCTCAGATCACTCCGCAGTACCCATCATGTGTGGCTTCCGGGGCCGATGACCCTGTGGCAGCTTTTTGGGGCTTCCCTGAGAGGAGTGAAGCGGCAGAGCAGCCTGCTTCTCGATGCCCAAGAGAGAACCCAGATCTGAAGAGCAGCTACTCCATTTAGCCACAGGAAAGTGAGAAGTGGGGCACTTGGGGGGCTCAGCGGTTGAGATCTGCCTTCGGCTCAAGGCGTGATTCCAGGGTCCTGGGATCGAGTCCCTATCGGATTCCCCACAAGGAGCCTGCTTCTCCCTCTGACTGTGTCTCTGCCTCTTTCTCTGTATCTCTCATGAATAAATAAATAAAATCTTAAAAAAAAAAAAAGTTGGCTTCTTAAAGAATCACCCATGACTGGGGAGATGCTGACATATAATGTGGCTTGAACAACTCGGCAAGGAAACCTGATTTACGAATGATCCATGTGGGGGTCCCTGGGTGGCTCAGTCGGTGGAGGGTTGAGCGTCTGACTCAGAATCTCAGGGCTGTGAGTTCGAGCCCTGCATTGGGCTCCATACTATGTATGGTGCCTGCTTAGTTAAGAAAAAAAAAGATCTGTGGAGACGAAAAGATTTTGTGGAGACGAAGTGAGAGCTGACACATGTCCCCCGGGTTTCATAGCAGCTCTGTCAAGCACTGCCCCACCCCGGGCAGCGTCGCTGCTCAGGCAACTGGGGCCTTAGAACTGCAGTGCCCAAGGCCCAGAGGGTCGCAGGGCAGCCTAGAAGAGCCAGGGAGTGCCCGCTCCCTTGGGACAGCTCTGAGGGCCCCCCACCTAGGCCATAACCTGAGTCACAGGGTCCCCACTGTGCCATCTTCCTCCTCTGCAGGTCTCCCCTCTTGCTGCTCCCTGGTTTCCCTTCCCACACAAACCCCGCCACACACTCTTGTCCTGGTGCCTGCTGCTGGGCCACCTCAAGCTTACGCACGAAGCTTCTGCTCATTTCTCTTTCCCTTGTGCAAATTCCTAGGAGTCTACCATGGTTCATTTGATGCATCCACTAGGCTGGGCCGTGGTGCCCAAGTATTTGGTCAGACATCATTCTAGATAGTTCTGTGAAGACTTTTTTTTTTTTTTAAAGATTTTATTTATTTATTCATGAGAGAGAGAGAAGCAGAGACACAGGCCGAGGGAGAAGCAGGCTCCATGCAGGGAGCCCAACATGGGACTCGATCCCAGGATCTGAGCCAAAGGCAGACAGACGCTCAACCGCTGAGCCACCCAGGCATCCCAAGACTTTTCTTTTTTTTTAAGATTTTATTTTAAGTAATCTACACCCTGCAGGTGGCTCAAACTCATAACTCCGAGATCAAGAGTCACACGCTCCACTAACTGAGCCAGCCAGGTGCCCCAAATGAAGGTATTTTTTGGATCAGATTAACATTTTTTAAAAAAAGATTTTATTTATTTATTCATGAGAGACAGAGAGAGAGAGGCAGGCTCCCTGCACGGAGCCTGAGGCAGGACTCCATCCCAGGATCCTGGGATCATGACCTGAGCCAAAAGCAGGTGCTCAACCACTGAGCCACCCAGGTGTCCCCAGATTAACACTTAAATTGGTGGATTTTGAGTAAATTACTTTTGTAATGTGGGTGGGCCGGATGTAATCAGCTGAAGGCCTGAATAGAACAGAGACTGACCTCCTGGAGCAAGAGGGACTTCTGCTAGCGGACAGTCTCTGGACTCAGACTGCATCTCTGCCCTCAGTCTCCGTCTGCCAGCCTTGCCCCATGAGGTTTTGGATGTCCATATACATACAATGACATATGGATTGAATGTTTATCTTATGTATAATGTTGGTTCTGTTTCTCTGGAGGACTCTGAGTGATACAGGGTCTGAGATTAGGAGAAAGGATCTCTCTCTCTCTCTTTTTTTTTTCTTTTTTTTAAAATTTTTTTTAAATTTTTATTTATGATAGTCACAGAGAGAGAGAGAGAGAGAGAGAGGCAGAGACACAGGCAGAGGGAGAAGCAGGCTCCATGCACCGGGAGCCCGATGTGGGATTCGATCCCGGGTCTCCAGGATCGCGCCCTGGGCCAAAGGCAGGCGCCAAACCGCTGCGCCACCCAGGGATCCCCTTTTTTTTTTCTTTTTAGAGAGAGAGAGTGAGCCAGGGGTGGGGGGCAGGCAGAGAGAGAGAAAATCTTAGGCTCCACACGGAGTACAGAACCCGCCATGGGGCTCGAGCCCCCAACCTGACATCATGACCTGACCTGAAATCAAGGGTCGGGTGTTTAACCGACTGCGCCACCTGGGAGTCCCCTCTCAGTTCCCTTTCTAAAGAATGTCCTCTTCAATGTTTGAAGTGAGACTTCACTTGACCAGTGTCAGGTTTTTTGTTTCTCTGTAAGACCCGGCTGATGGTGGAAGCTCCGGACCTGCCGAGTGAGCCAGTGAGGGTTTCCTGCAAGAAGAAAGCAGCTCTGCTCAGCACAAGGTGACATTTTCCAATATTCAACCTAATTCCAGCCTTCGAGTCTAAAAACAATGACACCGCTGTTAGATGCACCGCCGTTCTGCATGCACAGTGGGAACACATCCCCCTCTGTTCCAAAAACGTGAAGATGAAGGGGGGACGGGTTCAGATTGGGCGGGAAGAGTTGTCCAAGAATGGTCTGAATGAGACAAAGAGAGGTGTGTTTAGGATTGCTCAGCCTTGTCCCCCGATGGGTGAATTATTTGCAAGGCAAGGTCATCTTTGCAACAAAAGAGAACATTTCAGGCAATGGTTCAGGAATTTTGCCTCCACGTTGCACCACTCCGACTTGAACTTTGGAAAAACATGAAGCCTCTCTCTGCTTTCTCTCTCCGAACAGGCCTCAGCAAGCTGAGACGGAATGATCTTTATTTCTAAAAATAATACCAACTTGGATCTTGGAGCTGATTCTCTCTACAGGACACCAGAAACCATGCTGGGGGCAAGAGCAAAATACAGAGCAGATCGAGCCAAGCACGCAGGGAGTGACCCTTCCCAACTTGAGCAAGGACAGTGGTAGGGAGCAGCTGCTGGGATGGCCGCTGGAAAACCTGAAATGGAGTTACAGTGAGGAGTCCTCCCTAGGACAGAACCCACCCATCCTGGGTTTTCAGTAACTCTTTGGAGGCCTTACAGGGTCTCACAGATATCCATACATTGCTGAAGACTTTGGTTCAAGGAGAAACCTTCTGGCGCTTTCTAGTGCCTTCTGGAGCTTCTGCAGAAGCTCCTGCCAAATGAGAGGTGACCCCTTGCCTATATCACCAGATTTCTAGCAGCTGGCCAGGTGGGGTCAGAGAGAAAGTCCAAGGGAGAAAAAAAGCCATGGGCAGAGGAGCCTGAGAAGGTGGGAGATGAACATTAAGGACACAGGTTATAACGCATCATGGACCAAATAACTGAGTCACAAGGTGCCTGGCACATTCCATGTTCCAGTGGGTCTAGGCTCTATCAGCAGAGACCCCCAAACAGTACAAACGTCCAACAATAGCTGTGGCCCATTCATAAACTGGGACATACTGGGGAGGGAGGGACAAACAGTCTTTTACTGCCCCAGAGACTCTCCCAGAGGCTGCAGGTTGCACAGAATGGGCATCGTCCTGGGAGCCAGACTCTGGGAGCCGACTCTTACCGGCTTTGTGACTTTGAGTAAATAATTATGTCTTCCTTTGTCTCCATTGTTCTCCTATACAGCAGGGGTAATAATAATTCTTGCCTAGGGGAGTTCCTGGGTGGCTTCGGCTCAGGGTGTGATCCTGGGGTCCTGGGATTGAGTCCCACATCGGGCTCCACGCAGGGAGCCTGCTTCTCCCTCTGCCTCTGTCTCTCTCTCATGAATAAATAAATACAATCTTTTTTTTAATAAATAAAATCTTTTAAAAAATTATTAATAATTCCGACCTAGAAGGGTTTTGTGAGGGGTACGCTTGTTAATACCTATTAGGCAATTAGAAGAGGGTCTGGCATGTATGAGCTACTTAGTGAAGGAAGGTGGGAAATATTTATACATATTTATTAGTCAGGAGGCAGTTGGGAAAAGAAACCACATTCATTGCTTTAGATTTGATTGATTGATTGAGATGGGGGGAGGGTCAGAAGGAGAGAGCGAATCTCAAGGAGACTCGCACAGGGCCCAACTTGGGGTTCGACCTCACGACCTGCCCGAGTTGGACGCTTAACCAACTGAGCCGCCCAGGGGCCCCAATGCTTGTTCCTTTAACAAAGAGCTGAGTACAGAGAATTGTGAAATGGGTATCGCAGGACAAAAATGGGGGAAAGCTGACCATGGGGAGGGTGGGGGGGGAGGGAGAGGGGAACGGCAGGAAGCAGTGGCCCCACCTCCCCTGGTAACAGTGATTAGAGGGAGAGGCAGGTGGGCTGCCCGAAGCCCAGGGAGTGGGACCCTTAGCAGACGGTTTAAAGATAGGCCTAGGGACGCTCAGCTGGCTCAGTCGGTGGACCATGCACCTCTTGATCTCAGGGTTGTGTGTTCAAGCCCCACACTGAGTGTAGAGATTACTTAAAAGAAATAAAATCTTTAAAAAGAAAATAAAAATTAAAGGTAGGCCTGAATGAAAGTGTGGCCAGAGGAGGGAGAAAAGCGGGACAGGTGGCACAATAGACTTCAGCACGTGAGAAGGTGTGTGGTCCAGCCACAGCCGTGGGAGTGGGGGCTGAGGTCAGCTGAGGCTGCAGAATGTCCTAGGCCAGAGAGAGGTTGTGGCAGGCATCCAGTTCCCAGATCCCAAGGTCCTACGTGTTCTCACGTAGGAGTGGGAGCTGGGAAGATTGTGAGTGGAGACAGAGATGTTCCGGAGGAGGAGAGGGGGAGCCTCTCACCCCCACAGCACAGAGCAGGGAGGGCTTTGCAGGAGGAAGACAGGTGTTTTGGAGGCTGTGTGGGGAGTTGGTGGGATGAGGACGCTATGCCTGTCAGGGCAGGAGTCAGGGCCCGTGAGGGGGCAGCTCTGGGGTCCGACACACCTGCACTCAGTCCTGGTTCTGCTGGTTCACTTGGCTCACCTGGGGCAGTCCCTCATCCCATGCCTGTGTTGTTTTCTTCTTCTTCTTCTTCTTCTTCTTCTTCTTCTTCTTCTTCTTCTTCTTCTTCTTCTTCTTCTTTCTTCTTCTTCCTTTCTTCTTTTCTTCTTCTTCTTCTTTCTTCTTCTTCCTTTTTCTTCTTCTTATTTTATTTATTTATTCATGAGAGACACACAGAGAGAGGAAGAGGGAGAAGCAGATGCCCTTTGAGGAGCCCGATGTGGGACTTGATCCCAGGACCCTGGGATCACACCTGAGCCAAATAAATGCTCAGCCACTGAGCCACCCAGGTTCCCCCTGTGTTTCTTCATCTGTAAAACATTGACCATGATAACACCTGCCCCAGGGTTATGAGATGGTGCGGGTATGACGACATGGAGGGAGGTGCCCGGTGGGATCTCTCCCGTTTTCCAAGAATTGCCAGACCCCACTGCCAAAAATAAAATGCATCTTACATTTTAAGTTCAGAAGAGGACCAGCTGGGATGTCACTCAGCACTGACACTGTAAACCCTGTGTGTAATGAAGAACTTGGCTGGCCTTTGTCCCTGGGTCCTAAGAGGTCACCTCTAGATCCTTGGAATTTCCCGAGTGATCGGAAAGTCGGCTATTCATGCCTGGCCCCCAAAGTGTTTATGACAAACCATGTGATATGAGCTCAACCTGCTGGGAAGAGAGGGGGCTGGAGATTTCATTCAATCGATGGTCAAGAACTTAAAGTGCCTACACAATGAAACCCCAATGAAAACTCTTAGATCCCAAATCTCGGGTGAGCCTTCCTGGTCAGCAATGCTCTGCATATTGTCACACAATGGTGAGCAAGGATGTGTAACTCAGGGGAGCCCTTTGGGAGAGAGTGTCTCGTGGGCAGGCCTGTGGGGCCCCCAGTTGTCCACATCTCGTCTCCGGAGCAGTGGTTCTCAACCAGGTCGTTTGCCCCCAAGGGACATTGGGCAATGCCTGCAGACATTTTTGGGCAAAGCTGGGAGGAGCTACTGGCTTCTAGGGTACAGGGATATTGCTAAACTGTGCACAGGCCAGGCCCCCATGGCAAAGAATGATCCAGCCCCCAAAATGTCAATAGCGCTGAGGATGGGGAACATTCTCTAAGAGAATGTGCTAGATCAACAGTGAAGGCCCAGAGCCCAAAACAACCACATCACAGCCACCAGCCATTCACCGGAGGGCACATACCTGGTTTCCATCTCTCTCCTCTCTGCCTCAAGCTCACACAAGTAAGCACAGAAGAGGGGGACGCAGCGGTATTAGAGACATACATGTCCCCGCTTCTTCACACTGGGGCCTCAGGTGTGGCCTGCGTAGGGGAAGGATGGAGGTAATTGAGAAAAGCTTGACTTTTTTTTTTTAAGAGTTTATTTATTTATCCATGAAAGACACACAGAGAGAGGCAGAGACACAGGCAGAGGGAGAAGCAGGCTGCTTGCAGCGAACCCGATGTGGGACTTGGTCCTGGGATCCTGGGATCACACCCTGAGCCAAAGGCAGACGCTCAGCCGCTGAGCCACCCAGGCGTCCCCCCAAGTTTGGATTTTTAAAAGAACAAGTCTTAAACACCAAAGTGGGGCTGGATTAACAACCAAAAATGTTTAGAAGGGAGACTGAGGGCCTTCAGGGGGCGCTTTCTGCCCAGTGAGAAAGGGGATTTTGACAGAGCACGGTGGGTAGTAGCTATTAGAAAAAATAAGACCTTTTGCTCATGTACAGGTCAACAAGACACATTTCCTTAGTGAAAGTGGCTCCTTAGTGAAAGCACACACTTCCTGGCACAAAATACAAGAGCTTGATCAATGCTAACCACTTGTATGAAGAAGGAAGTGGAAAGTCAGCGGCCTCCAGCAGAGAGAGGGGCTTAAGGATAAATGTCATGTAGAGACAGCTGGTTTCAGTTAAAGCACCAAGACCAAGGAAGCCGGGGCCTTGATTAACAAGGGTTGGGGTTTCTGAAAATATATTTGAAGGATCTAGTCTCTCTCTTTTTTTTAAGAGTTTTTTTCTTGGGCAGCCCTGGTGGCTCAGCGGTTTAGTGCTGCCTTCGGCCCAGGGTGTGATCCTGGAGACCCGGGATCGAGTCCCACGTCAGGCTTCTAGCATGGAGCCTGCTTCTCCCTCTGCCTGTGTCTCTGCCTCTCTCTCTCTCTCCCTCTCTGTGTCTCCCATGAATAAATAAATAAAATCTTTAAAAAAAAAGAGGTTTTTTTTTTAAGATTTAATTTATTTATTTGAGAGAGAGAGAGAGCACAAGCAGGGGGAGGGGTGGAGGGAGAGGGAGAAGCAGGCTCCCTGTTGAGCAGGGAGCCTGATGTGGGACTCGATCCCAGGACCCTGGGATCACAACCTGAGCTGAAGGCAGATGCTTCACCGACTGAGCCAGCCAGGTGCCCCCTTTTAAGGATTTTTAGTTCTAAGTAATCTCTACACCCAACGTGGGGCTTGAACTTACAACCCCAAGATCAAGAGTCCCATGCTCCACTGACGGGGCCAGCCAGGTGCCCTGAAGGAGTCTATTCTTAAGCTACATACCAGTTTCCTGAAGGGCAAAGCAGTTCTCTAAAGTTGCACCAATTCCGGGGACCCTGGGGGGCTCTGTCAGTTAGACATCTGCCTTTGGCTCAGGTCATGATCCCAGGGTCCTCTGATCGAGCCCCAAGTCAGGGTTCCCCGTTTAGCAGTGAGTCTGCTTCTCCCTTTGACCCTAGCCCCACCTCTCACTCTCTCTCTCTCTCTGTCAAATAAATAAATAAATTCTTTTTTTTGTTTTGTTTTTAAATAAATTCTTTAAAAAAATAAAGTTAAAAAAAATAAAAAAAAATAAAGTTGCACCAGTTCTTACTTCCTGAAATAAGTAACCGACACCCGCCCAGATGGGCACCGTCAATTCCTTCTCTCTCTGTGAGCTCATGATGCTCCTCACGGCCATGCTGCAGGGGCCCTAATCCCCACCCCTGGAATCTGGGCAGGACTTAATGATTTACTCGAGCAGTAAATGTGGTACAAGGGAGGTTTTGGGACTTCTGAGGTGGGGGGCATGAGAAGCCTTGTAGTTTCTGCCTGGATCTCTTGGGAATGATTGCTCTTGAGACATTCCCTGTTGTAACCCAGCTGCCAGATGCATGGAGAGACCACAGGGAGCTGCTCTGGCCCATAGGCCCGGCTGCCGGCCCCCTGACAGCCAGCCACAAATGTCACCACATGAGACAGCCATCTCAGATATTTAGCCCACTGCCCCCGTAACCACATGACTCCCCAAGTGAGAATCACCCATCTGAGCTTCATCAACCTATGGTGAACCCAATAAATTATTGCTTCAAGCCATTACGTTTTTGGGTGATTTATTATTCAGACACAGATAACTGGAACACTTCCCCAGGGAGGCAGGGCTTTCAGACACATATGCTCCTCTCTTGGATGAAAAATTAATTGTCTTTCTAGTGATTGCCCAGGAAGGGTTCACACCAGGGATAGCTTGGCTGCTGGAGAGCTACAAGTCAAACGCCAACACAAGTTCAAGTTCCAGCTTATGCCTCGTTCCAACTCGTAAGCATGAGAGCATTTCAGCACCTCCCTTCCTCACCTGACAGTTGCTCCCTCCTCTCTAATCCTCCATAAATTTCAAACTGCTATTCCAAGGCAGTCATTATATATATATCTATTTTTTAAGATTTATTTATTTATTTATTTATTTGAGAGAAAGAGAGTGTGTGTGTGTGAAAGAGAGATAAAAAAAATAAAAAAATAAAAAAAATAAAAAAATAAAAAAAATAAAAATAAAAAAAATAAAATAAAATAAAAAAGAAAGAGAGAGAGAGGGGGGAGCAGAGGGAGAGGGAGAAGCAGACTCCTTGCTGAGCAAGGAGCCCAGTTCAGGGCCTGATCCTAGGACCCCAGGATCATGACCTGAGCTGAAGGCAGATGGTTCACCCACTGAGCCACCCAGGTGCCCCCAAAACACTCATTATAGAAACATGGTCAGGCTGTTAGAAAACTAACTGATGGCAGCAAGTACAGTGTGGCCGGGTGGAAGGGGCTGGGAAATTCAGAGCTAAGCATCCGAGGCTTCGGACCCTTGACCAGGGTCAAGTTCTTAAGTCCTCCTGGTGGGAAGGTAACTTTATCTCTCACTGACACACATGGGAGGATAGAGTCCCCTGGTGATTAAATACCAATTAGACATTAAGAAAAAGCATTTATAAAATTGTATTGCCATTCAACAGGGAAATAGATTTAATTGAACTTTTTATTCAGGAGCGCCCCTGCTTCGACACCACCTAGTGGGAGCGACTGTAATAGCTCCAGAGCTCCCCGGTCCCCTTCTCATGGAGCCTGGGTGGCAGCCAGCTTCGTCACCAGTCCCACATTCCCACCCCAGCGTCTGGGAGGATGTGGGGAGAGGCTGTGATGGTATGCATCACGTCTGTACTATGCCTGATTCAGTCCCAAACGTGAAGTAGTCACTGGGAGCGTGATGATTCATGATGCCCTTCAAGAAGTTTTCTGTGGCATTTACAGAAAGTTCTTTGAGTTTGCCAACCTGCTTGGAAAACAGGCTACTGATCCCCCCTCTTATGCTGAGTCATCGGTTCCCAAATTTGCACATTAGGAGATCCCCAGGGGGATCCAATGTGCTGCCTTGTTTGGGAGCCTCAGTGCTAAGTGACCCTGGAATTAGCTCCGGCCATCAGCAGAGCTGGTAACTACCGACTTTTGCCTCCTCTCTGCTTTCCATTAGGAACATCCCGAGGCCAAACCCAGTTTAGAACCCTCCCAGCACTTACCACATCTGCGCCAGTTGGTAAAGCCCTTGCAGATAAGAAAGACTGGACTTAAAAGTTTTCCAGGGGCACCTGGCTGGCTCCATCAGTAGAGTTTGCGATTCTTGACCTTGGGGTTGTGAGTTCAAGCCCCACGTTGGAGGTGGAGCCTACTTAAAGAAATTTTTCCCCCATCTCTAATGTATTTTTACTTTGGTTAAATTTTAAGTATTTTTTCCCCAAATATAAAAACATATCACATACGTGGTTATCCTTGCGGGGGGGGCGGGGTGTGATGGAGAAGGAGCAGGGTTGGAAGGGGGCACAAGGAGTTTCTAGGATGTTTTTGTTTTTATTAATATGGGCGCGTTGGCTCATAAATTCATAGTTTATGATCTGAGCGCTTTTCTGTAGGTATTTAGACTTCGATAAGGAACCCAGCACACGTGTGGCAGACCTACTGGGAAAAACACAGAGAAGTAAAAGGAAAAAAGGAGCGAGGGTTAGCCGAAGATCAGCCCTTAGGGCCCCCGCAGGTGGCACTGTATTTTACAGGAGCCAAGGTCCCTCCCACTAATGCCACCAGCGTGCTGGCTGCACCCCTCATCCTGGTAAGCAGAGGGAGGCTGCCCCTGGCAGTTACGTGAGGCCAAAGTACTGGATTCCAATGACTTGGTGCCAGGGAGGGACTGGCTGGAGAGGACAGCGGGATCACACTTTCTCCCTGACCTGGTCTCAAGGGCTCATCTGAGCCTCCCACCCTGGGCTCCCCTCGAGCCTTCCCCCACACGGTCCAGTTCTAGCAAGAACCCCGCTTGGTCAGTTTTGCCAGAATGCCCCACCCTCCACATCTGATCACCTTCCAAGTCTGTTCAGGTCGCTCACCTGCACCACCCCCAGGTGATGTCTGATGACTGGCTGCCTCGGCAAGGTGGGCTAGGTGGGCTGAGCCAGAATGTTGCCTTACTCCTGTTTCCTTTTAGGAATTTCCATCCACCGGCCCCTGCCAGCTCTTTGGCTATGAATTCCCACTTTTCCTTGTGTTTGGAGTTGAGGCACCTCTCTGCCTCCCACTGCCCCCACCCCCAGACCCCACCGTGGAGGTCCCTATAACTATCACAACCGGCCTGAAAAAAGCCCGCCTCAGCCATCTCTAACAAGTACCTTGGGTAGTGTTTTAACACCTCCCAAGTCAGAATTTCAGAATGGTTTTGTGGATCACAAAAGAATGATCCCAAGGCACCACCCTTTCCTTCAAGTCCTTTATAAAAAAAAAAAAAAAAAAAAAAAAAAAACTTGAGGTGAGGGGCACCTGCATCCCAGTGTTTATAGCAGCAATGTCCACAATAGCCAAACTATGGAAAGAGCCCAGATGTCCATCACAGATGAATAAAGATGTGGTATATGTATACAATGGAATATTAATCAACAAAAAAAATGAAACCTTATCATTTGCAACGATGTGGATGGAACTAGAGAGTATTATTATGCTAAGCAGAATAAGTCAATTAGAGAAAGACAATTATCATATGATTTCACCCATACGTGGAATTTAAGAAACAAAACAGAGGATCATAGGGGAAGGGAGAGAAAAATAAAATAATCAATCAGAGAGGGAGAACCATAAGAGATTATTTACCATAGGAAACAAATTGAGGGTTACTGGAGGGGAGGGGGATGGGGGATGGGGTAACTGGGTGACAGGGATCAAGGAGGCCATGTGATGTGATGAGCATTGAGTGTTGTATGCAACTGATGAATCACTGAACTCTACCTCTGGAACTAATAATGCACTATATGTTAATCAATTGAATTAAAATAAAATTAGATTAAAAAAAAAACCTTAAGGTGAAATGCACAGAACACAAAATGGACAATTCAGTCCCATTTAGTGCATTCATAGTGTTGTACAACCACCACATCCATCTAGTTCCAAAACATCTTCATCGCCCCCAAAATAAAACCCACAACCACTAAGCAAGTACTCATGTCCTTACCCCAGCACCTAGTGACCACCAATCTGCTTTCTCTACAGATCTGCCCATTCTGGGGGGCGCCTGGCTGACTCAGCTGATAGAACATGCAACTCTTGATCTCAGGGTTGTGAGTTCAAGCTCCACATTGGATGTGAAGCCTACTTAAAATTCAGATTTGCCCATTCTAGATATTTCAAATAAATGGAATCACACAATAAATAAATAGATGGCCTTTGTTCTTGGCTTTTTTTCATGTAATCCTTTTTTTTTTAAGAAAAAAGATTATATTTATTTATGAGAGAGAGAGAGAAAAAGAGAGAGAGAGATCCTGGGCATGAGTAAGGGGAGGAGCAGAGGGAAAAGGACAAGCAGACTCCCTGCTGAGTGCCCCATGTGGTGCTCTAGCTCACAACCCTGAGATCATGACTCCAGCTGAAATCAAGAGTTGGACTCTTAACTGAGCCACCTGAGGGGCTCCAAAGAGCCTCATTTTATTTTTTTAAAGATTTTACTTATTTATTCATGAGAGACAAAGAGAGAGAGGCAGAGACACAGGCAAAGGGAGAAGCAGGCCCCACGCAGGGAGCCCGATGTGGGACTTGATTCCGGGACTCCAGGATCACGTCCTGGGCTGAAGGCAGGCGCTGAACCACTGAGCCACCCAGGTGTCCCACATCCCAACTCCTGGTCTTTTTCTTTCCTTTCCTTTTCTGTTCTCCTCTTTTTCTTTTCTTTTCTTTTTTCTTTTCTTTTCTTTCTTTTTCTTTTCTTTCTTTCTTGATTTATTTATTTGAGAAAAGGAGTACACACACGAGAGAGTGTGTGTGAGTGAGTGGAGTGAGCGGCACCTGGGGCAGTCCCTCATCACACACCTGTGTTTCTTCCTCTTTTTATTTTGTTTTATTTTATTTTATATTCATGAGAGACAGAGGCAGAGACACAGGCAGAGGGAGAAGCAGGTGCCCTTTGGGGAGCCCGATGTGGGACTCGATCCCAGGACCCCAGGATCATGCCCTGAGCCAAAGGCAGACACTCAACCACTGAGCCACCCAGGCGCCCCAGGAACCTCACTTTAAAATATATTTTTTTCAAGGGCTGGTGGGTAATGCTAGCTTTGCTTTCTACTTCTGTTAGGTCCTTTTTTTCATGGTTGACCTGCTAGTGTTTATTGAAAGCTTGCAACATATGTGAGTCTTGGTCTAGAATTAGAATTAGCCACCCCCACCCTTCCACTCAGGGCTCCAGCATTTCAGAAATGCCCGAGGCTGCAGGGACATGGCCCTCGAGGTCCTGGGGTTTGCTGTGGCTGCCGATGGGAGTACGAGATGCAGCCCTGAGGACGCAACATGCCTCTCCCCTGGGGAATATCACCCGTGCCTGCCAAGAGCTGAAGGAGGCAGACCCGATCCCACGTTACTCACATTTTGCAGATATTGTTTCCCTTCCTTGAGTGCTCAAAGCTCAATCTGAGAACCGAGTAGTCACAGATACTTGTCACATGGCCCCTGGAACTCAGCCTAAAATGTGAGGATCTTTGTGCTTGTTTGCAAATGCCGAGTTCTAATGCCATGGATTTTCCTAGGCCCTCCGAGTCAGGAAGACTGGTGTATGTGCCCTTTTAACTCTGCACCGGAGCCATCTGTCCCTCCCTACCGGGACCCGGCCTGCCCAGCCAGGAGGACATGGGGCGTCGGACGTGCCCTTCCGGGTTCTCCCACTCCGCAGCGGTGCAGCGGCCACCTGGCACCCAGGTGCGGCTCCCTCTCCTGGCCGTTCCGCTGCACCTGCTGGGGCCCTGCGGTCAGGAGAGGTCGGCCCACAGGCACATCTTGAGGACTTCATGTGATGACTGCAGTTCTAGGAAGGAGACAAGAAGACAAGAGAAAAGAGGTGCCCTGCAGCCACCTATCAGCTCCTCACTGCTCAGAAGCCCTGGCCGGGGCCTTTCCCTCTTTGGTTTGCTTTAAAAAAAAAATTCACTAATTCCTCTGTAAGCGTTGACAGGCAATCACTCGGTTCCCCATCCCGTTTCAAAAGTGAGTTTCAGAGAAGCCTGCCAGGATCATCTGAGGATGCCTTGAAGGAGAAATGACATCTTAATTCATTCTCAAGATGCCAGTCACGTGGCCGTGGCCAGGACTTCGGGGCCGTGAGCAGCGAGAACAAGGAACTCTGCTTTTGGAAACGGCTCTCCCGTCGGATCAGCACGTCACTCCCCTTGATATACAAAGGCTTAGGGGCACACAGGTGTGCAATCAGGTTACAGCGTCCCTTGCCCCCTAGTCCCCTCCTCGGCCCCAGCGGTCCCGGCCCATCCTGTATAATCGTGGCTTAGGTTACCAGGGTTGCGTCTGGAAAGAATCAAAGGGTTTGACCTTCAAGAGGCAAGCCTCCAGGGAAAGGGTAGTTCTATTTTCAGGATGTGGATAATGAGCAGCAGGGGTGGGCAAGCCCCACTCCGGCATCCGAGTCTTTGTGCAGCAAGTCGGGAGAAGTAGGGCATCCAGAGGCCTTCTTTTGACCCCAAGCTATACCACCCCCCCAAATGGCACGGATGCAGGAAGGTGTGGATGGAAGAGGAGAGGACGCATCCCCCAGGTGACCACCAGGGGTCAGTGGGGTGCCTCCGGCGGGCATCCCCAGAGGCCAGGCAGCACTGGCTTCTCTGGGTTTCTCTGGGTCGGGGTGAGAGGGCGCCTCACCTTCCCTTGGCAGAAGGGGTCTGGCCTCAGGTAGGAGGAAAGGCCCTAGACCAGCACCAATGCAGTGTCCAGCCTGGGGCCGTGTCCAGCCCCCTGTCTGTTTGCTTTGGGAACAACCCAAGGACACATCTTAGCTTTTGAGAGAAGTGAAAGTGGAAAACATTGCACAACAAAAAGCCCCAGGAAAACCGTATACACACCCATCCCCTTGGCCTGCTCTGCTTTCCTGCTACCCAGTGGCAGAGGTGCCAGGTCCCTCTTCCTGATTCCCAGTTCCCTTTGGGGACCTGCCTAAGGCAGTTTGATGCGGCTTTTCTTCCCTTGGGTGAAGTCTTTTACCAGGTGTCTGCGGTCTCCAAACCAGCAGAGATGAGCAAGTGGCATAGTTGGGTGGGGTGGAGGGCTGGCTGCAGCCGCAGAAAGGGACAATCTCTTGCCTCCCAAGTATCCAGGATGTGGGGTTGGTCACTGGAGACTAGGCCAGAGGCGGCCTCAGGCCCAAACTGGAGCTGATGTCAGTGAGAGCCTGTGGAATATTCCTGGCCATGATTTTCTGTGTGGCTGGTCTGGTTCAGCTTTACCACAGAGCCGCAGAAGCAGCTGGATTGCCAGATCACGTGATAGGAGCTGAGAGGGTGACACACTTCCTTTTGGTACCCAGGGGGCCCACGCCCTGTGGCAAACCCTTCCTGCAAAGCTGAGTGGGGAATCCTAACAGGCCGAAAGGGGATGGGTTGGTCTGCTTGCCAGCCCTCCCTCAGGTGAAAAGTTGGGGTTCTGAAACCCTGGAATCACTATGTTTAGCCCAGATGCCAATTTCTCTCTCTCAGGTAGTTTTCAAAATTGGAAACCAGTTTTCTTTGTTGGGACTGCTACCCACGAAGTCCACAGAATCACGTGTTAAACCAGCAAAAATGTTTTTACTCCCACACAATAGCCACTTATTTGGGGGGAAAGCAAGCTCCTGGTTTGTGTTTACTTGGCAGCGCTGGGGAAGGCGGGGAATGTCAGAAAGTTCCGTAGCCAAGTAAGGACACAGTTCCCAGACTTTCCCTACCCATCCGTGGTTGCCAGAGTAACAGCCCCCCAAAGGTCCAGGTCCTCATCCTTGGTACCAGTGAATGGATTACCTTATATGGCAAAGGGGACGTTGCGGATGCTACACGTTGCGGATGCTTCGGAAACCTCACATTAAGGCTCTAGAAGGGTGAGATTATCCTGGATGATCTGGGTGGGGCCAAGGCCATCACAAGGTTCCTACGAGGAAGAGGGAGGCTGGAAAATCAGTCAGAGGTGTGACAACGGAAGTAAAGGTCAGAGATCTGAAGTCCTGTGCTGACTTTGGAATGAAGGAAGGGTCCTGAGCCAGACAATGCAGGTGGCCGCTGGGGGTGGAACAGGCGGGGCAACGCAGCCTGCAGCCCTGCTGATCCATTCGAAACTTCTGACCTCCGGAGCTTGTAAAAGAACAAATCTGAGCATCCCTACGCTAACACAAACCTCAGCTTTGTTCTTCCAAGGGCTGAAAAACAAACGCATCTCCTCGGGAAGCCAAAGATGCCATAAATCAAGATGCGCAGTGAGATCTGAAAGTTGAGGGAGCGGTGTGCAAGCCTGGGCGTGCAAGGAAGTGTGGCAGCCAGGGCAGATGTAAACAACCCCTCCCAACAGATCTCACCTTGACAACGTGAGGAGGAGGGTAGGTCTGGCTTCCAGACACCCTCCTTCCTCCCACATCTGCAGGAACACGTCCCTTTTTCAGGACACCTCGCGTTTGCACTTTCTTTGATTGAAAAGGTGAAATCGGGCAGCCCGGGTGGCTCAGCGGTTTAGCGCCTGCCTTTAGCCCAGGGCATGATCCTGGGGACCCGGGATGGAGTCCCACGTCGCTGGCTCTCTCCATGGAGCCTGCTTCACCCTCTGCCTGTGTCTCTGCCTCTCTCTCTCTGTCTCTGTGTAATAAATAAATTTAAAAAAATTAAAAAAAAAGAAAAGGTGAAATGCTAAAAGAATTGTAATACGTTAATTCCCACTAGAGTCCTAATGACCCGTTGGTTTTTTCCTCCCAGAGCAATTTGCATTTGAAAAACAACACGCCCACCGGAGATCACGCAGACCCTAAGGAACAAGGAACTGAATGCAGCCAAATCTTTCCCGGGAAGAAGGCCACGTGCAGACGAAGGCAGAGATGCGGTGATGCATCGCCCAGCCAAGCAACAGCAGCTTGCCAGCAGCCCGCCCGAGCTAGGAGGGAGGCCTGGGACAGATCCTCCCGCACAGCCCCGGAAGGAACCCTGACAACGTACTGATCTCAGACTTGGGCCTCCAGGTCCGAGAGACAGTGGATTTCTGGGAGGCCACCCAGTTGGTGGCACTTTGTTACAATGACCCCAAGAAACTACCAGAATAGCCTTCAGATGCTGGGCAAGGAGTGGAAATGAGCCGAGTGGGCAGGCCCGGCAGGGGGCTCCGGAGGCTAAGTACCCCATCAGCCTGCAGGTGAGGGTGGAAGGCGGCGCCCAGACAAGCCGTGTGCTCCCAGCCTCAGCAGGGAAACCCACGAGGACGAGGAGGTCACGCAGAGCGTGGAGCTAGGCTCACCACACGCCCAGAGTGGATGAGCCACAGCAGAAACAGAAACTCTGATCACTCCCTGCGTGCAGCCAAGAATCCTGCGTGACCAGTCTGCCCTCCTGGATCACCACGTGTGCGGCACACCCCGTCCCCCCCAATACCTGACACTGTCACCAGCATCTAGGAACCTCTCAGAAGGGAAAGCCACATCTGGGGGCTGTCCCAGAACACAAGTCTTAGGAAGAGTTTGGAGGGCTGGACACCTCCCTTCCCTGCTCCTGCAGCCTCCCTGGCAGCAAGGACTCAAGGTCAGAGGAGGCCTGGAGGCTCCGCAATTCAGCTTGGGAGCTGAAACCTCCTGGGACAACTGCTTCAGGGACCGGTGAGATGGCGGGAATCCTATCCTAATAAAAGCAAGTCATTTGCCATCTGGCGGCCTTGGCTCCAATTTTCCAGAAAGCTGGAGCCAGGCCCAGTCAATTCCTGCTTTCTTTCTCTGAAGCAGGAGAGAAGGGGCTCTCAGGTGTGTCTCCCTGGTGGCGGGGGGCTCCCCACGAGGAGGAAGGGGGGCTGGGAAAACCAGTCTCTTTCACCTGTGAGCCTGAGTGGCAATCAGGTGGGATCGAGCCTGAAGCCAGGCTCATGGTGGGCCTCACGGCGTGGTGGCCCTGCTGAATCAGGACTTGGGAGAGGAAGTCTGGAGAGGGCTTTAAGGTGTTTCCTCTTTTCTCTGGGACACCCTGCACAGCCCGGACGTTGGGGCAGCTCTGTGGCAAGCGACCTACCAGGTCGGCGGATACTCAAACATGTGCGAGAAGCCTGGGGTGGCCTCAGTCTTCCAGGCTGGGGCAGGACTCCTGCGTTTGCTTCTCAGCTCTGCTGGGAACCGGTGCTAAGCATTTGCAAGAACCTTCACTTCCCAGGGTTTGGGTTCCCCCAACTGTCAAAGGGCCACAGCATCTTGTTTTTGGCCCATCCTGTTTCCCCTGGCCGGGATGCTGATGGGCCAGTTTCTGGAGGCAGATGCGGTACTTTAGAGACAGGCTGGAGGTCAGCGCGGGCCTGGAGAGAGGGAGCCCGGAACAGGGCGGTTAATGACAAGAATGAGGGGGGCAGAGCAGAGACCGTGGAGGTGAGGGGGGCAGGGCAAGAGGCGCTGGGAGGACAGAGGAACCATTGTGCGGACTGGAACCGGGGCCAGAGGGCTCTGCCCCCCACCTCCCTCCCACTGAGCCCCCGGAGGCCGGAGCAAGAACCCAGCAGGCCCCCCTCACCCCCCACCCCCGCCTCCCCCGCCCCTCGCCCGCCTGGGTTCTGGTCAACCCCGCCCCCGCCCGGCCCTGCCACCCCGGGGGCCCCAGCCTGGGGCGCTCGGGAGGAAGAGAGGGACCCTGCAGCGGGCGAGCTTTCTCACCACGGACTCCTGCACCGCCAGGTCTTCCCTTCCCTGTGCCTCAGTTTCCACCAGGTTCCAAGGTTTAACGCAGCGGCTCCTCAGGCCTGAATGAAGTGCCCTCCCGAGCGGGGGAGAGGGGGAGGCTGCCCTGGCCTCCGCAGGCACCTCGCTCCCAGGCTGCGATCTCGGGGAGCACCCGCCCGAGCCCCGCGTTTTCGCGGCGCCTAATCCAGGCTTCGACCGTAGCCTTCACTGGAGGGGACGTGGGGAGGGGTGGGGAGGGGAGGGGAGGGGAGGGGGACGAGGCGGGGGGGAGGAGGGGGAGGCGGGCTGGCCCTGGCCCTCTGGCTCCCGCACCGAGCCTCCTCCTCCTCCTCCTCCTCCTCCTCCGCCGCCGCCGCCGCCGCCGCCGCTCGTCCCCGCGTCGCGTGACCACGGCACTGCGGCTGCAGCGCAGCGGTCCCCCGGGTTCGGGTTCCCGGGGAGTGGGGGTGGGGGGTCCGGAGGTCCGGGGCCGCGGCTGCGGCTGCGGCTGCGGCGCGGCGGGAGGGCCGGGACGCCCCGGCTCCTTCCCCCCGGTTCTTAGTCCTGCGGAGTTTCTCGAGCCCGGGGCGCGTCGCTGAGTCACCTTCCCGGAACGGGCTCGGGGCGCTCGGGACCGGCCGGGGCCTCCCGGGGGCCGCGCCAGGCGGGGGCGCGCACCGCTGCGACGCGCGCCGAGCCGCGGGGCCCCGAGCCCGCGCGTCGCTCCCCGCCGGGGACCTCGGGCTCCGCCCCCCCAGGTGCTGGGAAACGGGGCCGGGCTGCCCGCGTCCCCCGGAAGGGACCCCACGGAGGCGTGCCCGAGTGACCTGCCTCTTCCCGATCCTCGGGGGCGCTGGGGAGAGCGAGGCGGGGGGGGGGGCGGGGGCTGCAGGTGTGGGCGCGGGAGCCCGCGGCCGCCTGGGCCCGACCCGGGTGAGGCCTCCCCTAACTTTGGCCGCACCTGGTCAGGGCGCCTAGTCGGCCGTGGCGACGTCCTCCTCCGGGTCTCCGCAAACAACCCCCCAGGGACTTAACTCGTTGGTGGCGGACACGTTCAGGTCAGACCCTTGCCCACGACACGTATATCACACGCGCGCGCACGGACACACACGCATCTCCGTTTGCCTCCGTCGAAGCGAGGACTCCCGGGGCGCTCGCATCCTCCCGCTGAGCCAGAGGCGGCGGCGGGGCCGCTCCCCCGTGTGTGGCCCTCGGATCCCGACCGGGCCCCCCAGACCTTGGTCACAACGCCGGGTCCCCTCCCGCGGGTGAGGGGCGCGGGCCTGGGTCGCCCGCTGCGGGGTAGCCTCTCGCCCAGGTGAGCCTCGATGGTTTCCTCTGGGGAAAGATCCAACTTTTATGGGTCTTGACCAGGCCCCCTCCTCCGGACCGCGGCCGCCTACGCCCCTCGCCGGCGGGTGGGAGGACGCCCGGCTGCCCCGGGCTCCGGTGGCTGCGCGGCGAGGCTGCCCGCCAGGAGCCAAAGCAGGCGGCACGGGAGTCGCCTGGGCGCGGGGCGCGGGGGCGCGGGGCGGGGGGGCCCCGAGGGGTCTGGGCCTCGGGTCCCAGTGGACTGGGGCGCAGCGCGCGACGGGGGAAGACCCCGCGGCCGGAGGTGGCGGCGACCGGGGACAGCCGAGGGGCCGCTCCGACCCGGGGCGCCGCGGCGAGTTCGCGTCCCCCCTGCGCGCCCGGGACGCTGAGCCCCGCGCCTCGCCGACTCCCGCCCCGCGCGGCGCCGCCTTCTCTCCGGCCGCGGGGCGGGGCCGCGGGCGCTGACCGGGCCGGAGGCGGCGCCGTGAGGCTGGGGGCGGGCAGGCCCAGGCCGCGCCAGGCGCCGGTTCCACCCCCGAGCGCGGGGAGCGCGGGGAGCGCGGGGAGCGCGGGGTGTGGCCAGGCGGCGCGCGGAGGCCCGGCGCCCTCCCTCCCCGCGCCGCGGCGCCTGGCGGCGAAGTTGAGCTAAAAGTTTGAGGCCAGAGGCGGGGAGGCCGCGCAGCCAGCGCTACTGCGGCGCTCGGGTCGTCGCTCAGACGGGGCCGGGCCGAGCCCAGTCCGCCCTCGGCCGCTGCAGGGCACGGAGGTGGCGCCTCCCCCAGCAAACCCGACCGACTGGGTAGGGCCGCCCGCCCGGGCTCCTCGCCGCTCGCGGCCCCTGGGCGCCCACTCTGCGCCCGGCGCGGGGAGGCGGCGGCGGCGGCGGGGCTCGGCTCAGCCCTCGCGGGCCCCCGCGCTGCTCCCACGGGCGAGGCGCGCGTCCCGGCGGCTCCGGGCGCCTCGAGCCCCGCGATGTCCGCTCACGTTCTGGCATTTTTACGCCGCGGGACCCCTGTGCCCCCGGCAGCCCCGGGGGCGGCGAGGAGCCACGGGGCTCTGCCTCCTCGTGGGGCCGGGACCCGACGCCGCTGAGAGGGGAGCCCCCGGGACCTGACCCTCCGCTCTGCGGGGTGGGGGGGGGGGCTCGGGCCGGGCCGGGAGCGCCCCGCGGGGGCCAGACCGCGGCCCTCTGCACCTCGCGGGGGGCGGGCGATGCCCGAGCGCGCGGCTCCCCGCGCCCCGTCCGACGGTGCAGCCGGGCGCTCCCCGCCGCCGCGGGCCGCTCGGGGCTCCGCCAGCGCTGTCTCCTCTCCCTCAGATCCCGCAGCCGCAGGGGATGACGCCGGCGCCCCCGCGGCCCCGGCTCCGGGCGGGGAGGGCGAGCCCCTCGGCCGGCACCGCGACGCGCGCCTGGGCGGCACCGATAAGGAGCTGAAGGCAGGGGCCGCCGCCGCGCGCAGCTCCCCGACAGCGCTGGGGACGCCCCGGCAGCGCGAGCCGCGGGTCGAGGTTATGGACTCAGGTTCGTGGGGCCCCGGGGGGCAGGGGCTGCCGGGGGGGGGGTTCTCTTCCTCCCTTGCCAGGAAGAACGGCCAGCGTCAGCCGGGGAAGGAGAGGGGCGGAGGACAACCGGAGCACTTTTCCCGACGAGGCCAGAAGCCGGTCCGCCCCTAGCCGAGGACCGGGCTGTCCTGCCCCCCCCCCGGCCCCCCAGGACGCCGGGGCCTCCTGCCAGGCTCTGTTGGCTCCCTCGCCCGCCCGGGGATTTCAGGCCCGCGTTTCCACCCCGGCGCCCCCGCTGTGAGCCGCGGCCCCCTAGTGGCCGGTTGGGGACGCGGCCCCGTGGGGCTTGTTTTGCAGCGGGCGGCGCGCGCAGCCTGCTCCCCCGGCCCTGCCGCGTGCTGATCCTGCTAAACCCGCGCGGAGGCAAGGGCAAGGCGCTGCAGCTCTTCCGCAGCCACGTGCAGCCCCTGCTGGCGCAGGCCGAGGTCTCCTTCACGCTGATGCTCACTGGTGAGTGCCTCCCGGGGCGTTGCGGGAGCAGCCCCCCCCCCCGGCCCCCCTGGACCCCCTGGCCACCCTGTCTCTCCGCAGAGCGGCGGAACCACGCTCGGGAGCTGGTGCGCGGGGAGGAGCTGGGGCGCTGGGATGCGCTGGTGGTCATGTCCGGAGACGGGCTGATGCATGAGGTGAGGCCTGCCCCGAGGGGCTGGGGGGGGGGTGCTGCTCAGGCTGAGCCCCCCCCCCCCCCCCCGTGCTCCCACAGGTGGTGAACGGGCTCATGGAGCGGCCGGACTGGGAGACTGCCATCCGGAAGCCCCTGTGCAGCCTCCCCGCCGGCTCTGGTAACGCGCTGGCAGCTTCTCTGAACCATTATGCCGGGTGAGAGCCCAGGGCCAGAGTGGACCTGTTTTCCCTCAGTGCCACCCTCCCACCAGGTTTTCTAAGTTCCCATATATGGCATAACGTCTATTTCCTCTCTTCTGGAGCCTCCACCCTCAGTTCTGGGGCCCTCCCTGGGTGACCAGCGGCTACCTCCTCCTGCGCCATCTGTCATTCCCCCCAGCGCCCTAGGGACGCAGCGTTCCTTTGTCCGCTTCACGTCCTCGGGCAGAGGATCGAGGAGCAGGCACGCGTGAGGCCTCCTGCCCTGCACCATCTGACCTTTCTCCCCTGCAGCTACGAGCAGGTGACTAATGAGGACCTCTTGACCAACTGCACGCTGCTGCTGTGCCGCCGGCTGCTGGCACCCATGAACCTGCTGTCACTGCAGACAGCCTCCGGGACGCGCCTCTTCTCCGTGCTTAGCCTGGCTTGGGGCTTCATTGCTGACGTGGATCTGGAGAGCGAGAAGTTTCGGCGTCTAGGGGAGATGCGCTTCACTCTGGGCACCTTCCTGCGCTTGGCGGCCCTGCGTGTCTACCAGGGCACACTGGCCTACCTCCCCGTGGAAAGGGTGGTCTCCCAGATGCCCACCTCCCCTGCTGTGGACCGGCAGGACCAGCAGGGTCCTACAGATGTGCACCTCGTACCCCTGGAGGAGCCAGTGCCCTCACACTGGACGGTGGTACCAGAGCAGGACTTCGTGCTGGTGCTGGCCCTGCTGCACTCACACCTGGGCAGCGAGATGTTTGCTGCCCCCATGGGCCGATGCCCGGCTGGCACTATGCACCTGTTCTACGTGCGGGCGGGTGTGTCTCGGGCCATGCTGCTGCGCCTCTTCCTGGCCATGGAGAAGGGCAGGCACATGGAGTATGACTGTCCCTACCTGGTGTATGTGCCTGTGGTTGCCTTCCGCCTGGAGCCCAAGGATGGGAAGGGGGTGTTTGCTGTGGACGGGGAGCTGATGGTCAGTGAGGCCGTGCAGGGCCAGGTGCACCCAGACTACCTCTGGATGGTCAGTGGCTGCATGGAGCCCCCAGCCAGCCAGAAGCCTCCCCAGGGACCATCTCCAGAAGAGCCCTTGTGACTCTGTGGGCCTTGCCGTGCTTTAGCCTCCTTGGTCAACTCTGGCAGGACCCTCTCCACCCTTCCGCCAGGACTGGAGGGCCTGTCCGCAGCTCATGTGCCACGGAGGAGGAGGACGCCTGAGGACGGACGGTGGGAAGGTAGAGGCTGTGCTTTGGGAGGGCAGGCTCTGCCTACCAAAGGCCAGCATGAGGCTCTGGGCCAGGAGCCCAGCTGGTTGGGCCTCCCTGCCTACAGAAGCCACTCCCATTTTGTTTCTGGGAGCCCAACCCCATGAATTAAATACAAATAAAGTGACATTCCCAGCCTCCTGGTCTTATCCTGGGTGTTGGGGCAGGAATGGGGTCTTGCTCCTGCCAGGGCTCTAGAACTTAATGCCCAGTGGTGGGCAGTGGATTGGCAGTGCATAGTCCTGACTCCTGGTAAGTGTCATTTTGGTGGTGGGCACAGGATCAGGGCTAGTCTAGGCTTCTTTTTGGGCAGGAGTTAGGGTCCTGCCCCAGTGATTATACCACTTTTGGCCTGGGAGAAGCCAGGGAGCTCAACCAACTGCCCAGCCCCATGTGGAAGACAAACTCAGAGCTAGAATGTCTTACCCAGGACCACACAGCCAGCTAGTCTCCGTGAAGAGGGAAAAGGTCGGAGTTTGGGAGCATTAGGGAGATTAGCAAGGAGCAGCAGTCAAAATGGCAGGCGGTTGGAAAGAAGTCCTCTATCCCTCCAGGGGGGCTCCAGGGCTCCCCCAGCCTCCTCTACCCTACGCTGCCAGACCCCTGTGGGGCACGAGTTAGAAGGAAGCAGAAGAGCGGGGCAGATCACCAGGCCCCCAAACTGGTAATCATTTTGACTTAAAGCCCAGGCCGGGTGCTTGGATGTTGGCTCCCACAGAGGCTGGAAGGTGCTGACCTGGCCAAACTGGTCAATCAGAGGCCTGGGGACCCCCGCCGTGAACCTTCCTGGCAACTGGTCTTGCCTTCCCCTGGGGAGGGACGTGTGAGGTGCCCCAGAGAGGAAGAAAGGCGACAGAGCCCAGATGAATGGCAGAGGCAGGTTTAATGGTGCCACCTTGTCTTTTTTGTACATTGTAATGAGCCAAACAAACAAAAAAAAAATGCAAGTAAAAAAAAGGTTTAATCACACAGCACTTTATACAGATATCTTAAGCAGTAGGCATTCACATCTCCACATGAACAACGCACTGGGAAGCACAGCCCCACCAGTCACTCTGGATGTTTCTCAAACGAGATACCGACTCAGGGCTCTAAGAGCCGCGGCCTGCGGTGCGGCCCCGTCCTTCCCCGCGGCTGCTGCCCGCTGGGTGCTTGTGGCACAGCACAGGTGTGGAGCCGGCTTAAGGCGGACAAGACGCATCATGCTTTGGCTTCTTTTTTTTTTTTTTTTTGTCTTTTTTTTCTAATAAGAGTTAATATCTTTGCTTTTGAGATTTATTTTCTTTCAACCTTAAATATTACATACATACACCAAAAATTACATAGCTGCAATGTGCTCAACAGCATCCTCTTAACCTGGAGCTTCACATTATCAAAAGCTTAGAAAACTTGTAAACCTCTGGGCCTGTCTCTGTGAGGGAGGAGAACCCCCGTGGGCCACCTCTCTCTCCCCGGATTGAGCCCGCAGAGTCTGTAAGCGACAGGAGACCGCGGGTGGGGGCTGGCTCTTTCCTTCTGTGTTCCACGAGCTAGGGGCCACCTCCCAGGCTCAGCATGTGATAGCGGGAGGGCAGAGTGCGGGAGAGGCCTGAGTACTGGCTCTGGCCTTGTTCCGCCGCGCCTCCGCCTCCTGGGGCCCTGGGGTGGGGTTGGGCAGGGAGCGGCCCCGCGGCGGCCCAACACTGCCATCCGCCAGCCACCTGGGACGTCAGAGCAAGGCACCTACCGCTGTTTTTTCCAGCAGCTCCCTGGTTCTCATTCCGTGTCACCTGTGAGGGTCGCCACCCCTCCCGGGTGTCCCTCTGAACCCAGCCCGGTCCCTACCTCTCTTAGAGAGCAAGTTCAACAGGCCTGAGGGTTGTCCTGTGGTACACAGTCCAGAGCGGAGCCAGGAGTTGGTGACAGCAGCTACAACTCCCCAGCTGGGGGACGAGGAAGGACCTGGTGGTGATGGCAGCAGGGGGGCCCAGGGCCAGGGAAGCTCCAGGGGCACTGAAGAGGGTGGAAAGGGACTGGGGGAATTGCTGGAGCCGCCCGCGCTTCATGCACGCATATCCGCTCGCTCTGCTGCTGGGCTGTGCAGGCCCACAGATAGCCCCCGAGGCAGGCCCTCGGAACCCCGCACCTCCGACCCAAGATGGGCACGGCCAGGAAGCAAGTGCCGGGACGCTCTGCCTGGGTGACAAATGGAAAGACCAGCAGCAGGTTCCAGATTCTCTTTGCCACAGGGGATCGGCCTGTCAAAAGATTGCTTCGGGGAAGAAACGGCAGCATCTCAAGAAACTCCTTGCACTTCAGCATCAAACTCACCTTGGGGAGAGGGCAATGAGGGGCTTTTGCATCGGGGACAGAGGAGAAAACGGGAAGACGGGCGATTCCGGGGGAGGGAGTGAGCGGGCAGCAGCTGGCCTCTCCCCACGTGACATTCCTTCCTCCAGGGTGGCGGCTACTTGTCCTCCACGCTCTCAGGCATGCCCGCCTCTAGCAGAGCGGCCCGGAACTGCGTCAGGACACCCCGGATGCTCTTGATGAAACCCTTAGAAAGTGGGAAGAGAGGGAAGCCGATGTCAGGGTAGCCACTCTTCTCAGGCAAGAAGCTCCGGTAGCTCTTTCTCCGCTTCTTTGGTTTGACACTGGGTGGCACCGGGGTGTCAGGCGCTGCCTCCGAAGTCTGGTCTGTGCGGTCCCTGCTAGCTGAGGCCAGGCCCTGGGCGCCGCCCTCCGAGTCTGAGCCCTGGGAGGCCTCGCCAGCGGCCAGCCCTCCGTCCTCAGGTTCTTCTCGGCCGTAGTCTGAGAGCTCGGCCACAGCAGGTGGCTCTGGGGAGCTGCTGTCCTTGGGGATCCCGTTGGGCAGCACGTGGGCCCTCTCCAGCAGGGCATGGGTTTCCAGCCAGGACTCGATGCGGCTCACCAGCCGCCAGCCGCCAGTACGGAAGTGCTGCCGGATTTCCTGCTCGAAGACTTCAGGGGGCCGCCGCACCAGCTGGGTCATGGACTGGACCACGCGGATGAGCGCCATCTCGTTGTAGCAACGACTGTTCTCGTACCCCTCCTGCAGGCCCCGGTCGCTGTCGAAGCCGGCTTCATTGTAGTAGGGTTCATTCACCAGGATCAGACCTGTGGGCGTTGGGGTGGGAAGCCCATGAGGGCTGGCCTGAGGACCCCTGGAGGGCGGCCAGAGCTACGGGTGGGAGCTGGAGACAGAGGCCTGTGTCTCTGCACCCCCAGCAGCTCTCCTGACCACCGGCCCTCCCCCGACACCGTACCTTGGATGGAGATGAGCACCTGGAGAAGGCTGGATTTGCTCGTCCACCTCTCCGTCCCCTGAAACACATGTGCACACAGCATGATCGACTCTGTCCAGACACCCGCCCCCGACAGGCTGTCCTCCCACCCTGACAGTGCTGGCATTACACTCACCTTTCCAATCCAGGTGCCCAGGAGGCTGACACACACCTTCCCGTTGTCATACAAGTTGGGGTTCAGGCGGCCACTGCACTGGGAGAGGTAGCAAAAGTGGGGGGGCACGGCTGGGTAGATGTTGGGCAGCTGGATGTCAAACAAGTAGAGGCCATCCTCGTAGGGGGTGCGAGTGGGGCCCTTGATCAGGGCTGAGAAAAGGTCCTAGAGGGAGGGAAGGCTGAGGTCGGTGCGGGCTTCTGCACACGGCACCTGTGTGGATCGGGGGGAGGAAGAACAGCGCCCTGGGATTCCAGACGCCACCAACTACGGAGAAGCTAAATGGAACTATTTCTGTGCGGGCCTACACGGCATCTTTTAACTCCTGGTATAAATGGAATCATCCAAACTGTTTTTTTTATCATTAAGTCATTACTTTGAAGATTCATTTCTTAAAACACCTGCCCTGACCCCCTCTGCCCTCAGGTCAACAACAATTACAATTAGTCAGAAGATGAAAGAACATTCCAAGGTGCCAAGCCTATACTAGCTTTTAGGGAACCAGAGGAACAAGGGGATCTGGAACCCCAGTGGAAAAGCTGGCAGACCACCGAAGAAACTCGGGTCATTAAGTCATTAGGGAGACTGCCCCCAGACAGTTGAAATCTGTGTATCGGGGGGGTGGGGGGTGGCATCCACTATTACAGCAACACACGTGACACTGGGTGATGTAAAAACAGCGAGGGCAGAGTACTGCCCGGTGCCACCCCGCAGGCCTTGAGATAACGCACTGCGCCATTTGTCCCTGCGAGTAAGGCCTGGAAAAAATGCTGTTCTCTCCTCAGCAGAGCTGAGACAGGTTGGAATTTTCAAGTTTTACTAAAACTCAAGCAAAAGCAAAGATGTCACCAAGAACCCTGAGCAGCAGGGGGTGGGGGGATGGGGTAACTGGGTGACGGGCATTAAGGAGGGCATGTGACGTAACAAGCACTGGGTGTTGTACACAACCGATGAATCACTGAACTCTATCTCTGAAACGAGTAATACGCTATATGTTGATTGAATTTAAATAAATATAAGAAAGAAAAAAAAAGAATGAATGAACCCTGAGTGGCACCGACCCCGTGGTGACCCCAGCCCCGCCCCATGGTTTCCAGGTAGGTGCAAACAGCACCCCTGTTCTGTTCTCTGGCCCCTCTGGCCAGAGCTGGACTGCAGCTGCGGCCAGGTCAGACTCAAGTTCAGTGTCTCGCACCAGGCCCGGCACACAGCAGGGGCCCGGTGGAGGTGTTGAATAAATGAGGTGACAGATGGACCGGGCATGCCTGTGCCTGGAACGAGGACGCGCTCACACCGCCTCCGGTGGCATGACTCAACCCTGGGCCCGGGCCATGGAGAGAGGAATGGAAAACGCAATGGGACATGGCCACGTGAGTGGATACTAATCTGTAGCTAAAAGAGAATGAACTAGATCAAGACGCATCAACATCAAAAGGTCTCAAAAATCATCCCATTGAGACAAAAAAGCAAACTACGGATGATGTGTGCAATGACAGGCTACTCGTGTGGAACAGATCACACAAAATGTTTATGCTGAGGTGTGAGAATGTGAAAATAGAAAATAAAAAAAGGTTGTCTTTTTCTTTTTCTTTTTTTTTTTTTTTAAAGATCTTCTGTAGGGAGACCCACAAAACTCCTAAAATTATGATGCCTAGGGCTGGGTGAGGATTGGTCAAAGG